GGTTTGATCTGTATTCCAGTCAGTGTTGCAGACCTTGTTAAAACTGATAGATTTCTAAATGCAGAAAAAGTACCATCGGATTATGATCCACCATGTAATACTAACTGGAAAGCACCTGATTGGTAACAGCTTTATTTTTCATCATGTTATTGATCCCAAGCACACTGCCAATGCAGTAAAATCATACCTGGATAGAAAAACACACACAGTGGAGCACTATCAGTCATGGATTGGCCTCCCCAGAGCTCGGACATCAACATTATTGAAGCAGTGTGGGATCATGTTGACAGAGAACAGAACAAAAGGCAGAAACATCCAAAGAAGAGCTTTGAATGTCCTTCAAGAAGCCTGGAGAACTATTCCTGAAGACTACTTACACCAAACATTGACTTTCAACTTAATTAGAACGGCACTAACTCTTGTTCTAATAAAATAATATCTGCATACAGACATTACCTCCAAGTGCATTTGACTCTTTCATAGGACTGTCCTCTACCTGTGCAAATGTCCTGGTTTATAATGGCTTTGAGTTGGTTTGCTTTCTTAAATCCACTCTCAGTGGCTCTTAGTGTGTTGAACACTGAGGCACAAACTTTTTGGAGTATTCTGGGTAATTAAAATGAACATAGTATGACACCAGATGATTAGTTCCTCCTAGCCAAAAACTAAACAGGGTAGAGGAGATAACGTTTTTGAGTCCAGTAATAACGTTTGCAGGGTAGTTGCATGCTGTAAGGGGTTTTTTGGACAGGCACTATGTGCTTTTGACTACTTGTTTTCACCAGCCTCCAGTCTTAATGCCCAAATATTATCCTGATTTTCACATGAGAAAGGCATTAATCTTTCTAAATTCTCAGGATAAAGGATCATTTTCCAAAATAAATAAATAGCTCCAGTGCTGTCACCAGCCTTTTTCATAACTTTTGCCTCCAGTGAATAAACCAATAAACCAATTATTTTATTGCATTCACACTATCAGTCTCTCGATTGCTTGATTTCACTGAGCGTGTGTGTAACTCAGCCAAGTGTAAGTGCTCTACCCCAAGGACACTGTCAGGAACACCAAACAAGAAAACTACATTTCCAAATCAATCATTTCAGAAAAGCTTCTTTTCCCAGCATAAAAATGATTTCAGTGCCATGACGTGCGCCACAATCTGGGACAATGTTGAATCAGAGCTAAAATTATTCTCAGGAGAAAAAAAATCAAATAATAATAACAATAAAAACTAGTGCTCAAAAACATGTAATCCTCTCTTTGTCTCATACACATACACAGATGTTGTTTATATTGAAAAAAGGGGGAAAAAAAGTCTCCCAACTGTCTTTCCCAGAATCCTTTGTTGGTTTTCCCAACATGCTTGCTGGTTGCATGGAGAAGAGGGAGGAGCCAAAATGTCAGGGGTCACCTGACAAAGATGTTTGATCTTTCTTTTGGCTCTGCGTGTCTCTATATTAGTTCAGTCGTTCTCAGTATGTGTTTGCTCTTCTTTTTCACAGCAGGTTCAAAATTAGAAGGATGAGGATCCGTCCTCGGGCCTGTACTTGCGTCTGAGCACGCTCCCTCTGGTCTCTGGGGCCATAAATGTTTCATCCTGGGACCACAATGTTTTCACAGATTTCCAATAACACACCCCTCTTAATAAGACTTCAGCGACACAAGTTACAGCAATGAGACAGTGATTGGAAACTGTAAACTGAGCGATGCTTCTTTTTAGTGCAGTGTTGGTAAAACAAGACTTTTCCTAAAAGATCATCTTTATTTTAGATCATTTAGAATTTTATTAAATTAATAATTTAAAAAATGGGCAATTTTATTACTATTATGATTATTATTATTTTAGAAAATTTATATCTAAATGTGGACTAGGGGGATTTGTATGTAGGAAATGAATACTGTTGAACCATGTTTGAAACAAATAAATGAAATGAAATGAAATATGTTGTTAATAGAGGATTTTATTTTGATGCAATGAGATGCTTTGCCACTTTGTGATACTAATTCTACTATGGTTCTGCTCAGGGAGGTCAAAGGTGACAGCTGTGTGGCTTAAATATGTTGATTTTCTGCATGGCTGTTTTTAACCTTAAACTCACGTCAGGGCCACAGTTCATTTTTTAAAATAACTCTTTAGCCTCATCTAATGGACAGTACTGGAAAAACAAGTCAATCTCTTGTATGCTTTTTATGCCTTTGGACCTTCTGTAATTCTGTAACTCCTGCTCTGTGAATTCATGCTTGATTAACTTTGACCCTGCAAGGGTTTTAGGTCACATCAGAATATGTATGCTGTGCTGACATCACAAGGTCACATGACCATACAAACAGAGGAAGAAATAAAAACCCCCACAAAACTTCAAGTCACCTTCTCTTCAACCTCCTAGCTCTGCCTGTGAAAATAAGTAGTGATGATCCACAGATCCAACAACACTATTACATTACAAGGACTTTTCTAGAAGCTATTATTAAAGCAAAAAAACATGTAATGAAACAGAGAGGAAAGCTTGCAGTGTCCCACAGGGCTGATCTTATATACACACAGATGATCTTCCTGTTCCTCTGCTGCTCTGCTAAAGGAAAGCTCTGTGCATTGTTTATATAGACTGACTATAAGGTACATGAATGTGACGGATTAAAGTTATGTGATATAATTTTATTTTCAGTCCCACCAGCCTGATGGTGAGACTAGGTAATGCAGTGTTATTGAGAAAGTGCTGTCTGGATCACCGGCTCCTCCTCTAGGTGACACTTATTGCTCTCGTCTAAAACACTGTCTCTGCACTCTGTAGTTATGTTAAGCATACCAGAGCTGTGCACAGCCTCCCTTCCACAAGCAAAACAAAACACAGCAGACAAATGTGAGGCCTTCTCCTCTTTCCTACAGCAGCTAGCGTCACCTGAGTATCAGAAAGGTGAGCCCACAGAGTAATCTGTATGCCCATAAACTGAGTCTCGGTGCAGCAGAGGTGGAGTGGACAGCAGCTGCAAAAGCATTTTATCCTCTAAAATTTAATGCGTGCAATTAGAAATAAGCTATTCTCTGTTGACTTTTACACTGAGCTAATTTCTTTAGCTTTAAGGAGGTGGATCTTTTCCTGTCATGTGCCCACAAAACACTCAAAGTGGATACGTCTCTCTTATGACTTTACTCATCATTTAAATTTTCTACTCATGACTTATGGTCTTCGGATGATTTCTAAGTGATGTGTCACAGAGCACAGATGGCTGAAATTCCTAATGCAAAAAGAAAGGTGGTGACAGGACTGACGAAACAAATGAGCCATGAAAGAGAAACGAGCGGCTGCTAAACTACAAAAGAACATAAAGCTTCAGATAATGAATGGTGTATGTTGTTTTTGGAACAGACTGCTTTATAAACACACGCTTCACTGAGCTACAGCGCCATCTGTGAGACAACCGAGTGTTTGCTCACAAAACCATTTAATCCTGTTTATTGTTATTGTTTTTGGGTTTCCGAGCTATAGTCTGTATTTATTTTGTCTGAACTGATTATCTACTACAATAAGCATTTCTTTAAAGTGTCTCAGATGAAGTTAGAATAAATAAAACCTAAACAAAGGGTGACATCATCATGGATGTTTTGGTGGTACACCTCATGTTTTAGGCCATTGTTTCCCAACCTTTTGGAGCCACAGCACATATTTCACATTAGAAAAATCACACGGCACACCACCAAACAAAAATGTCACAAAAAGCATATTGATAAATTTTCCCCGTGCACCAGGTATAGAATTGGCTCAGTATACCTTTTTGCTTTCTTCTGACCACTACTCATGCTAGGGCTCTTATCTGGGTCAGAATTTTCTCCAGGAACCAGGTAAGATTGACTACTTTTTCATTTCAAATATTTTCCTGTTGACATTACGCACTGTGTTGTCTCACAGCATGACTGTTATATAACTTCAACTACCAAATAGAGCAGGTAGTTGTACTGCCCTCTAGTGGAAGACAATGTAACTGTTCTGTCCGTTACTCACGCCAATCGCTTCGAGTACCAATAAGGTGGAACCAGATAATCTTTCACGGCACACCTGATCATTTCTCACAGCACATCTATGCACAGTGGTTGGGAGGCACTGTTTTAGGCTATCCATGTCCTGTAGTGGGCCACCGTGGGATAGCTATCTGAGGGACCTTACAAGCTGTCAGGGGAGGGAAAAGGTTACTTGCTGACCATACCAGAGTGACCCAGACCTATCTCAAAGTTGAAGGAGAGACCCAGCCACAACACGAGGATGTGAGTGATCAATGGCGTGATGCAACATATGCAGGAAAATTGAGACTTTATAGGAAACCACAGTGCAAAATGGTGAACACTGCAAGGACAATGGGAAGAAGAAACTCTCTGAAGATGGTGTTAGACGTGTATACCAGACAAAGGTGTTTACACCTGCAAAGCTATGAACTGCCACAGTGAATGTCTAGCAATTCTGTCTTTCAAGGATAAGTAAGCAAGTATGATACTAGTAGTCCTTTTAACAGTGGTGTTCAAGAAAACCAACAACATGTTTATCTTAGTTTTAAGTGGTGCTTTACGTAGTGTGAATCTACCTTCCTTAGGCTCCTGACAACCTTAAATATTGGAATTAAGTATAGAAAATGACTGAAAAATGAACAGGAACCACTGCTGTCCTACCAATGCTGATTAAGAATACAACATCATGAAATCCCAGAAAAGACCTTGGTTAACTAGGGTTAATTGGTAAGTGTTTTATCATAATCCTTTGATAATGGTCACATAAACATATACTTTTCATTCTGCACTATGTCAACTGCCTCTTCCATAAGAGTCAAATTTGTCATTGAGTTGTCATGCCAGTCCTTAATGTACAAACAATATGCATTATAGTTAGAAGAACTACTTAAATAGGTTGACAGCGGAGAAGAATTAAAATGAAAAAGTATTTTCTAAAATTTTAAAAAGAAAAAAAAATGTATCTTAAAAGTAAGAGAGGGATGTTGCTTGAGTGTGATGTACCTGATGAGTCGCTCCCAGGCACCTGGTACCTGGAAGAGCAGAGGTTGATGCCCAGCAGTAAATATGGGATGGAGCAGAAAGGACCCAAATGAAGACTCACTATTCACGATGTTGCGTCAGAGGACCATGGAGACCTCTGTGAGATGCCTGATGGAGCAAAGAGCATTATTGAGGTATCAGATAAAGGTACGCAGAAGTAAATGTGTGTTTGAATTGCTCTCAGAACGACTTCCCCCGGAGGAGGAAGGGTTAGACTAAAACTTTGATGCCTAATGATGTGTTTATTACAACATATCAGCCTATTATGGTGTCATTGTGACATTGTAGGCATCATACAGAAAAAAAGTGTTGTATAGCTCTTGCCATGCCCTTTCATATCATATATTACTTGATTTGGTCTTGAAATGTTTCTTCAAGGTCAACTTTGAACTTCAGTGCTTATATGATGGTGAAGGTCAAATGTTTCGCCAACCTAGGGAGTCATGTCCTTCAGGGCCTAGTATATTGTTTGAGTTTTGAACACAATCCATAAAAATGTGTGGGTAATGTAAAGTTTTTACTGCTTTTCACAATTTGTGTGAACTTGATATCATGTTCACCCAAATTAAATAAGCTTGAACTGAAAATGAAAATGAAAGCTGTCGACCAAAGACTGCTAATAAACAGACAGACGGACAAACTTTGTCTGTTTCTCCTTCGAAGGAAGGACATCAAGTGCGCTAAAATTGAATAACGATTGTATAGCTTATATTTTAAAACTCCAGCAAGCAAAATATTAATGTACAGTAGGGCTGCTTTTCCACATTGGAAATTTTAGGTCATAGACTTGATCATGTAAAATCACATAACTACTTTTGGCCACACTGACTACATACTTTATACTTTTCCATTCTGTTTTTTAACTACACGACACTGCCCCTCTATTTGACAGTGGGAATCATGATGGATGTAGACAGACCCAAAAATGCTCTACTTACCTGGGATCCTGCCCCCAACAGCCAGGCATCCACTCGTTCCATGTTTCTGTTGGAAAGGCAAGAAGTTGGTTCTGACTTTCACTCTCAGAGATCTTCATCTCAGCTGATGTCACCAGTGACAGAGTAACATGTAACATGTAAAGACTTACCCAGTGACTGGGAAAGCAGAAGGGAAGTGGTGAGGGAAACTGCCAAGAAGGTACTTACTGTATCCTCTGGATGGAGTAAAGAGGAGATGGTGATGCCATTAGGAGAAGAAAATATTCAAAAGATGTTGGCAAAGAAAGAGTGGAATCATTCGTGTGATGAAGAAAGTGGGGAGGAGTAGTGGGAGGCTAGGCATATGGCAAAAAGAAAGAAGTGCCAAAGGCAAACTATTACAGTGACTCATACACAAGGCTGGTCACTAAGGAAAAACAAAAACACTATATCGATTGGCTGGACAGAAAGATCATGCCGGAAAGGATGAGCAGCAGAGAATTAGTAAGGAGGAAGTATGGACAGCTATGAACACACTGAAGAGTGGCAGTGGGTTCATATGACATACTTGTGGAGCTTTGGGGATGTCTGGCAAAGAATGTAGTTGATTTTTTCAACTGTGCTTCTTTGTGGATCTATAGAAAACATATGATAGGGTGCCAAAGGAGGAACTGTGGTACTGCATGATGAAGTCAGGAGTGGAGAGCTGAAAATGCTTAGATTTTCATTGGGACAGGATTACAAATGAGAACATCAGAGGAAAAGCTCAGCTTGAGTGAGTTGAAGATAAAGTGAGGCAAGGCTGACATGGTTTGAACATGTGCAGAGGAGGGATAATGGATATATTAGAAAAAGGATGGTGAATATGAAGCTGGCAGGCAGGTAGACAAGAGTAAAACCTTGTCTACCTGATCCAATGTGGTGGAGGAATAAAACTGCTTTAGTGCTTCGAATTACTCTGTGCATACAGTTAAAATCCACAGAACAGTGCACAGATCTGCACTGTTCTTTTCAGCAACAACCCTTTGTTCTGTACTACTGCACATCTACCTGATAAATCTGACTCCCAGTGCTTTATTGAAACTTCAAGGATGTACTAGTTCATTCAGCTTACAATCAATAGCAGTTTCAAGGTTTTTGAAATGTGTAAAGCTGAGCAGTAGAGTGATGTGCTTTTGACTTACTGTATTACAGAAAATAAAGACAATTAGAATCCTTTGAGAAATCAATGAGGCTTTTAAAGAGTCACATCCAGTAAAAAGCAATCTACTTGACAAAGTTAAAGTTCAGGATGGTCAGTGGTAACCCTGACACATAAAAAGCATGGAAATATGTGAATTCACCAGCATTTCACTGATGTTAGCATAATGGTGAAAGGAAAGCCCCAACCACGCCTTCCTAATGTGGGAGTCAACCAGTAGGACCACTCCCTCCATGATCATGACCATGAAGATCATGATCATCACCATCTAACAGAATACCAGTCATTAAATTATTAAGAACCTTATGTTAACGACTAATTCGGATTCAGTAATGTTCCTACATGAAGAGTGTGCGTGAAGGTCTGGCTGTGAAAATGGAAAAATGTCTGTAAAATGACAAATGTGACCTTGACTTTGGGTGAAGACCTAACAGGTGATCACAGTGTATAAGTTAAATTTTGAACAATCATGTAAAAGGACTTTTCATGCTTTGCTGTGGCTTTGCTATTCATTGAAGGTTGTATTTAACTAACTTTAAAACCTCATAACGACCAGATTTTTCTATTATGTACTGATCCTTAAACCCTTAGAAAAGAGGGTGTGTTTTCTTTTTACCGTGACTCAGAATCTGGGCAAAGTCAATTTACAAATACGATTTAATTGGTTTCACTGATATGCTATCAGGAACCAAAAGGTTTGGGAACTGGAAGCCCCAGCTCAGCACTTCTGCGGCCAGCAGAAATCAAAGCAAAGTCATAAAGTTTAACTGAGATGGTTTCAGTGAATAAGTGAGCAACACAGAGTACCTGGAACACACTGTACCCTTGAAGAGACAACAATATCTTTAACTTCTCTAATAAAATGTAAAAAAAAAACGATTGCCCTTTAACCAAAGGACTTTGATGTTCCTCACAAAATCAACATGTGCACTTCCTGTTCTTTGGAATCTGCAGTGAGGAGGAAGGCTTGGCTCACCGGCTGGCCTGTGGGGGTTGTTGGAAGTGTTTCTAGTACACTTATGACTCTTTGTAGCTACTCAACCATGTTTAGTAAAGGTGGTGGTAGTGCTGGTTTTGGTGGCAGTTGTAAAAGTACAAAGAAACAAAGAGCGAAGGGGAGGGGAAAAAATGGAAAATCTAAGAAATTAGCAACACTTTGCCCATTAAAATACTCTGTGCTCTTGAACAAAATGGTCTCTAACCTCTCAGCAAATTATTAGAAAAATGTCCTAATATGTTACTTTTTTATTTGTGACACATAGCTTGTACCAAACTAAGGACTGTAGAAAGGTGGAAATGAATCACAGGTCCTATATCTGCTGAAGCTTCAGGGAAATCCCCCCCCAATCCTGAATCAGTATTTTTACTGCTAACAAAACAGAGAAACCTACGAGAAAAGTGTTTACAAAAGACACTAACATGCAGGCAGCCTCAGTGTACAACAGACATTCTTTATTGTGACACACACTGATAAATATATATTTATATTAATAATGTAAGATTGCATAAGATGGTAATGAAAAACGCACATCCTCCAAGCCTATGTCATGTTGGCTCAGTAGTATGTCTCTAGCTCCACCCAACCTAGAAATCAAATGAGACACAATTAGTGTGATGTTTCATGTCAAATGTGGTAAATGGACTGGTTCTTGTATAGCGCTTTTCTACTCTTCTGAGCACTCAAAGCGCTTTACACAACTTGTGCATTCGCACACCCACAAATGTGAGAGTTTAGATACTTCCTTTTGTCTTTTACAGACAAATCCAACGAAAAATTCTAATAAAAATTATAGAGTGGCCAACTTATCTAATTTTTATCTGTCTTTACTTTATTTTGCTTATGTTTAGTGACAGTTATTGGGGAAAAAAATTGACTTGACTGGGGATTATAAAGAAGATAAACTGCAGCCATGATTTTGGTGATGATGCTATTAGGAGCTCTACCCTTCAGGGACATGTGAGGGTGTGTCAGTTTGGTCTCAGGGTTGCTTATGAGAGGATATCATGAGCGAGGCCATTAATATTCACCCTGGGATGAAGTCATATGACCCTAGAAGAGCTAGAGGTTTGTGTATTTGGGTTTTATATTATTAGATTTACATCCTGTACAATTCTGAACTGAAGTCTGATCATCAGGACACAGTTTATTTTCATTTCTTGGAATAATCAACATTTTTCACCTTTAACTCTTAATACTTTTTGCTGTTCTGATGTTCAGTTTGTGGTTTCTCAAACCCTTTAGATAAAATGTAAAAAAAGTATGACCTTTGCATTCCCCTACACTAATATTTAAAATGCAGAGTTTACAGGCAAAAATGTGTCCTACGTGTGTCAGAAAGTAAAACAAAGAGCTGGGAAGGTCTTACCTCCTGGGGTGCGTCTGAGGATATATTTTCTGACTTCATCATAGATGAAAATGAGGAAGGAGTAGGGAACGGAACAGAACCACCACATTGGCCTAAGGTAAGGATGGACAGACAAAGATTCAATTTCAAATGACAAAAAAAAAAAAAACCCACACAAAAGCTTGCTTCTCAACATCTTGGAAATTCTTATGTCAGGTTCTGTAAAAGCACATGAAAAGCTTTGATGGTGAACATTATGCTGTAGACAACCAGATGTTAAAATGAATTTATGAGGTGAGGAAGCAAAACGACGCATCTAAAAAATCTAAAAACAGAAGGTACTCACTGCTACAGGTCAGTAAGAACAGACTAGAGACCAAATGATATATCAGTGGGGTCGATATATCAGCTTAAATAACAGTATCAGGATATGTAACAGTTGATTAAAAGAAAAAAGTAAGGAAGACATGGGGAGAAAAAAGCCTTCAGTCATTTTATGACCATTGATGTTGCAAGTTTGCCTACCAGAAGGCACTCTGCAACTTCCCTGTTGGCAGCACATATTTGAAACGCCACAAACACAAAACCCAGCTAACCCGAACAAAGTTGGACAGAGCATAAACAAGCAATCCACGACAAATAAAAACTGTTTTAAAACCTCATTGTCACATCAAGGACGCATATATAACTACATATAACAAATAACAGGGAAAGCTGTTCATATTTTCTGTCTGAAAGAAAAAAATTGGCCAGTATCAGTTCTGAAATCACCAAATATTTGTGTCAGTATTGATCTTAAAATTCCTGTTACTGGTCACGTCTAGAAGAGACCATACGGACATGATCCCTTTCAATGTCATAATGCACACATAGAAAACTTATGATATACTGCACAACATTTAAAGAACACCCACAGGAAAAGTAAACAAATTAATGCAAATGTTTTATGGTCCTCTTGGATATTCTTTGGCAAGATTGTATGAATTTCTGAGCCGATGAGCCTAAAAGTGTCTTAACTTTTTTCTTTTTAGAGGAGAGCAACTCATATCGCAGCTTGTGCGCTTTACTACAAAGTGGAAATGACAGTAATAAACATATTTTATTTTATATTAACAAAGCTAAAACTCCATTTAACAAAATACAAGGACATGATCGTCTTTGCATAAATGAAGATGGCAAACTAGGCAGCCACAAAAACATGGGTGAAATAGCAAAACGTTGCAATATGAATATATAGCGATTTCTCTAAAGTAGCCAAATAATGCTGAGTGTTTTGGTTCATTTGTATAATTACAGTGTAGAAAATTATAGTGTAAACCTATCAGATTGTTTTTACTCACTTCATAGGGTACATTCTGATGGCAATGTCCATGCCTGGGCAGTATGACAGGAAGGCAGCCAGAGCCATCTCCTCAAAGATGCCAAAGATGAGAACGTAGTTCCTGTGAAATAAATAAATGTAAGAATCAATAAAACAGCAGAGACTAATCTCGTTAAAACTGGACTTATTTGCCGGTTTATTTGGAAAATGGCGGTTCCAAAGTCTGTTGTTATTGGAGATCTCATGTATATCTGTGCATACATACTTCATTCCTTGTTTCACAATGGAGTTGGTCCTGGTTTTACAGATGAGCAGATCGGCCACCTGGACGATCACAATACTTGTGAAGAAAGCTGTGTGGCAGGTAAACTCGACGATCTTTCTGCGCTCGTACGTCTGGGGGACAAAAGCTAAATTAACACTGAATCACTGAAACACACACGTTTTACAATTCTCACAGTCTGGAGTAAAGTTAGTAACATTACTGTGACTGACCCACTCCTGTCCATAGCTGTCTTCCAGGTCATTTAGATATCTGTTATCCCAGAACACTCTGATTCCCACCAGATCTTTGGGGAGGAATCCATTTTCAGACAGGATGACAAAATAAGTGAAAAAGCCACCTAAGGCCTGCATCATACCTAAAAGAAGCAAAAACATCAAAGAATGCTTATCAGACAGGGTTTCAACTTTTACTAATGACAAATATAAATAACAACTGTGGCTGTCTCTTCATAAAGAAAGCAGTAGCAAATATGACATGTCAATGTAATACTCTGCAAATCCATGGTGAATGAAAATTAAACACATTAATTGTTTGAAACAATGCCGCACGTTTAACCTATTAACAAATTAAATAATGATCAGATTTGCCTGAAAAAAACTGACGGATTCCGTTTTTAATGCCTGCAAACAAAAAATCTTTCAATTTAATAAAGTAATATGCATTTAAATTAATGATTGCATTCAATCTATAAGCAATAACTTCCTCACCAAATGACGGTACCCATTTTGGATATGATATTTAAAGGTGTTTTAGTGTCTGCAGTATAAACAAAATCCAGCAGGGGGCAGTAGAGGAAGGCTTAAAACAGCACAAAAGTATTAAAAACCGATTTGATATAGCTAAAGGTTAAACAGTGAACGATGTGTTACCAATTTGCCCATAGGCCATACTGATGAGTCTCTCATTCACCAGCTTGTCTGTTTGGGCATTTCTAGGCTGCCTCTTCATGATGTCACTTTCAGCCTGTTCATAGGCCAGGGAGATGGCAGGGACCTGTCATGGCAAAAGAAAAGAAAAAGAAAAAACAAATTATCCACCCATAAATGCATTATCTTCTGCTTGAGCTTCTGTGTAGAACAGATTCAGTAAGCTGGAGAGGAAATGCCCCCTCATTAACAAAGAGATCTTCTTTTAGGCTGCAAAAAGAGATTGTTGATCTAAGAAAAACCCAGGACATCTTCCTATCCATCTCTGATCAAGGAAAACAGCAAAAATCGCAGTTTTCTTTTCAGCACTGTACCCAACTTACTTAAGTATAAATAACTTTATTAATTTCTTCATAAGTAATATTTGAACTATTTAAAAAACAACATTTAATAACAATGTCACAAACATATCATTACTCACAGTAAGCTTTAATACTACTGATATTTATTTAGACTCTCTCCCTACGATTGATCTATCTGAGTTAACGTAATAATTAGTACTTCTAAATAGTCAGTGTAGACCACATTACACCACAGAAACAGCTTCAGTGATACTGCTGGTATTAAAGGTACTGTGCTACAGTAGTTTGAATCCTTTCCATCCAATGGACTACAGTTTCTTCATGTAAATGGAGAGTCCTCTTCTCACACTAAGGTTAATTATGGAGTTCCACAGGGTTCCCTGCTAGGACCAATTCTGTTTACATTATACATGCTTCCCTTTTACATAGACTTTTACTGCTATGTGGATAATACCAAACTTTATTTATCTAAGAGGCCAGATAACACAGCAATTAGTTAAACGTGTTTAACAGAATGTGCTAAAGCTAAAACAGCGTGGATGATTCTTCCTTCTAAAATCATTGTTTTTGTGGCTGTTGTTGTGATTTTGTTCTATATAGATTGAATTAAACTGAATTGAACAGAATCAGGCAAAATCTCACCATGTCAGTTCCCAGGTCAATACAGAGGATGGTGACAGTTCCCAGGGCAAGAGGGATGTCAAAAAGCACGAAGAAGAGGAATGGCGACATCTCGGGGATTTTACTGGTCAGAGTGTAGGCGATAGACTTCTTCAAGTTATCAAAGATCAGACGGCCTGAAAGAGGAATTCAGCAGCTGCTGTGAAGCTTTGTATTTTATGGAATTTTACTTTTTTTCCAAGTCTTGATATAGATATTACCTTCTTCCACTCCAGTTAAAATGGAGGCAAAGTTATCGTCTAGCAGGATCATGTCAGCAGCCTGCTTGGAGACATCAGATCCAGCAATGCCCATAGCAACACCGATGTCAGCTTTCTTCAGAGCTGGAGAGTCGTTCACACCATCACCTGTCACGGCCACAATGGCTCCCTGGAAGAAAGCATTTTTTTATATACATTTTAAACAAAACAATGTTGAAACTGTGTGTGTGAGAATCCCCACTCCCGCCGCCCCTGATGCTCACCTGTCTCTGGCATCCTTCCACGATGATCAGTTTCTGCTGAGGGGAGGTCCTGGCAAATACAATTTCAGTGTGGTGCTTCAGCACATCATCAAGCTGCTCTGGGGTCATTTCTTTCAGCTCACTACCATGGACGACGCAGGCCTTAGCTTCCCTGTAGATTAGATTGTAGCAGTGTTAGTACAGAGGTGTTTCGCTGATTTTTTTTTTTTGTGCAATTCTGCACGGTTTTTTTGGGGGGTTTTTTTTGTTTTTTTTTAATGCGCATTGTGTTCTGCGTCCTGATTGGTTGTAGACCATTTTCAATCAACCTCGTGCAGTGTCTCCTGCACAGTACAGATTGCGTTCAACTTGTCAAATTTACATAAATCATCATCACCTGCGGGTGCCTTTCGGTTTCATTCTATAATACTGCACTTATTTTTCTACAAGGTTTGAACTTTGAGAGTATTAAAACATTTATAATAATTGCAAAAAATAAACTTGGCTACTTCGCGGATTTCACTTATCGCAGGTTATTTTTAGAACGTAACTCCCACACTAAATGAGGGACTACTGGATGACAGAAGTGTGGCTCAGGAGGTAGAAAGGTTCATTCGCTAATTGGAAGGTTGCTGGCTCGTGTGTCAATGTGCATGAATAAATGGATAAATGTTGCATGTTGTACAAAGTACTTCAAGTACTCAAGTACAGCAGGAAAGCACTATATAAGAATCATCTATTAACGAACAGCAGCTGTAATCCAACACCCTGTGTCCAAGAACAGACTATGTTAAGGATATTAGAAAAAGATAATGATGGGGGAAACAAAATAACATCAGCCTCAGCAAAAGTTGATGATGGAACATTCAGCAAAAAGCTACATTTACAACATATTCTACTTGTTGGCTTCCCATTGCAGATAATGAATCACATGTGTTGCATTTATTAGGTATTATTTGCACTTCAGTTACGAAGATGACTACTGATTCAGGATTATAGTATAGTATAGTCTTGTACTGCTGATGAAGAAACAGGAAAGCCAGTAGCTAAGAACCATATCAAGATTATTTTTTCTTGCACAAATTAATGGTAAAAGCCTTTTAGGCTCTGCAGATGTCAAAACCTTCATTAGCCAAACTTGACTTAATTTGAACAGCTGCCTCTTATGCTCACAAAATGTTCAAAGCTAGCTAAATAAATCTTGATAAGAGAACTAACCTAGGGTTGACCTCTGAAACTGGAATATTTAAGCGGGCAGCAATGTCTTCAACAGTCTCATTGCCTTCGGAGATGATACCCACACCTCTAGCAATAGCCTTGGCTGTAATTGGATGGTCACCTGTGACCATGATGACCTGAGAAAGAAAAGACAAGAAAAATATTTAACTTGAAGTTTTGACCACAGTTTGAAAAAAGAGAAAGTTTAAAATCTGTTGTTTCAAAAAAGTTAGCATACCTTGATTCCAGCACTCCTGCATTTACTCACAGCATCGGGCACAGCAGCACGAGGAGGGTCAATCATGGACATGAGGCCAATAAAGCACAGGTTTTCAGTGGGAAAGTTCACATCATCAGCATCAAAAGCAAAGCCTTCTGGGAACTGGTCATCAGAGAGGTTATAGTGGCAGAAACCTGAAAAAGACACACAGAAAGTACTTGTTAGATTAAATTTTCTCCAGTAAACAAACAGTTCATAAATGCTGAAATAAAAAGAAGTGAAGCTGTACCCAAAACTCTCTCTCCAAGGCCTCCCAACTCAAGATAGGCACTATTAAAAGAATCTTTCAGCTGAGCGTCCAGAGGCTGCTCTTTGCCCTGGATCACAATGGTGGAGCAGCGGTCCAAAATCCTCTCTGGAGCTCCTTTCATCACCAGCAAATGCTTGGTTTCGCCAGGGGTGTTGTTTTTATGGATGGAGAGCTGTGGGACAGCAGAAAGCCTTCATTTAAACGCAAAGTTTTCAGGTCTCAAAAATTAGGCCCTCATTAGGCGTTCTACATTTGCAAGGGTGATCTTGAGTGTGACTTGAATTTCACCATCTAGCAGTGAGTGCAAGCATTGGTGGAGATGTCACTGTGCCTGCCGATTATTTGTGACCACATAGAATTGTTCATGGAGACTTTACATTGCAATGTCCCAAGTATATATGTGAACCAGGCACTGGACTTCAAAGAAGTATACTACTGTGCATTTCCACAACAACATACCGTCAAGGTTTATTGCCTTAAACTGTACTCCTGCCAGCAAAGGATGACTCCACTGATAACAACAACAAGTCAGACTGTATAGGTATTTTTGAGAAAATTGGCTTACTGGACTGTTGATTTAAACACAAAGCTTTGAAACAGAAGTTCACAAACCAAAGCATGACCGTGGTTGCAGTTCCTCCTGCATATATAGTATGTACAATGTATTTTTGAGATTTGTCACTCTGTATGGATGATTTACCTGGTATTTGTTTGTGGAATTAAAGGGGATCTCAGCAATTTTGGGGTATTTTTCTCTCATGTCACTAACAGATCCACAGCACAGCTCGATACACTTCAGCAAGGCAGCTTCTGATGCATCACCAGCCACATGTCTCTGTGGATTTTTAGAAAAAGACAGAATTGGTAAAATGGATTCATCGGCCCCTCTGGTGATGGCCAGAGGGGCCGATGGCGCGATATGGCAGCCTCGCTTCTGTCAGTCTGCCCCAGGGCAGCTGTGGCTACAACTGTAGCTTGCCTCCACCAGTGTACGAATGTGAGAGTGAATGAATAGTGGTATTGTAAAGCGCTTTGGGTGCCTTGAAAAGCGCTATATAAATCCAATCCATTATTATTATTATTATTATAAGTTACATCCTATGCCTTATTTAAAATACCAAAGCTTTTACTTGCCAACCACAAGAGCCTTAAGAAATGAAAGTTTATCACCTTCAAAACAGGAACTTTGTTCTGTTCAGCCAGGAAGACGGCACGGTTGCAGAGTCCGGCGATTCTGGCCAGATTGGCCCAGGTGGCAGAGCTCCTGTCAAAAGAGGTACCGCTCTGGTTCTCAGTGGTGTCTGCCTCATGGATCTGGTTGTCAAACCACATGTGAGCCACGGTCATTCTGTTCTGGGTCAGGGTGCCAGTCTTGTCAGAACAGATGGTGGAGGTGGACCCCAGAGTCTCGACAGCTTCCAAGTTCTTCACCAGGCAGTTCTTCTTGGCCATACGCTTAGCAGTCAGAGTCAGACACACCTACAGACAAAACGTAAGTTTTCAAAACTATGACAACTGCAGACAGTAAGACATAAGCTATCTGCAGAGAATGTCATTTGACACCAAAACTCACAGTGACAGTAGCCAAGAGACCTTCTGGCACGTTGGCGACGATGATACCAATGAGGAAGATAATACCCTCCAGCCAGTTATATCCAAGGATGACGGAGAGGATGAAGAAAGTTACACCCAAGAACACGGCCACTCCAGTGATGATGTGGATAAAATGTTCGATCTCAATGGCAATGGGAGTTTTTCCAGCTTCAAGACTGGAAGCCAGGGTGGCAATACGGCCCATGATAGTATTATCTCCAGTGTTGATGACGATTCCTCTGGCTGTGCCTGAAAATTGAAGAGACACTGAGTCCACAGAACAATGGATGATTTCATTCTTCCTCGTTATCCTTCTTATTTTGTGGATTACCAGCAAGCATCACTAAACTACTGTTTCATCAAATAAAAACCACACTCAAATTGTCAACCACAAGCTGTTCATACTCTACCTTCTACACAGTTGGTGGAGAAGAAAGCAATGTTCCTGGTTTCCAGTGGGTTTTCATTGGAAAATTCTGGAGAACGAGTCTGGGGCTCTGATTCACCAGTCAGGGAGGAGTTGTCCACCTGAGAGATAACAAACAAAATCAAACGAAGATCAGTGACATGAAAACACAGAATTAAATATTTTTGTAAAAAATAATAATAATAAACTTAAGAAACAAATGGGAACAGTTTATGATATGATCAAAGAAAAGCTACTTAGAATGAAGACCACCACATCCAATCAACATAGCTAGTAACTTCTCAGATTTACTAGTGGGATACATAAAAATGTTGAACAGCTGAGCAATCAGCTTGCATGCACAAGATTAGCTAATCTAAATGGACTGAGGGCTGAGCTCGACTCTGTCGCCGCCATAACTAAACTATGTCTAAAACTAACTAAACATCACAGCATGTCTTCTTCTCATTTAAATAAATAATAGTAGATATCAAACACATGCTCTACAAAAATGTTTGCTGGCATTAAGAGTATTTGAGATACAGACCTTGCAGCCGTGAGCAGATATGATTCTCAGATCAGCAGGGATCCTGTCTCCGCCTTTCACCTCCACTAAATCTCCAAGCACCACCTCCTCGGTGTTGATGCTTTTCTTCTCTCCGTCACGGATAACCAGGGCTTGCTATGAAATCAAAGATTTTAGGAATTTTTGATTAACTCGGTTTGATTTTAATGCCAACACCAAAATTTCAGATGATAAAATGTATCATCAGTGCAGAACTTTTCCCTTAAGACTGTGCAAAAAATACTGCAGTTTCTTAATTCATATAAGCTGTAAATATGTTGAATTTACATTAGTTTTCCTTTCAGTGTCTCACCTGTGGGACCATGTTCTTAAAGGAATCCATAATCCTGGAGCTCTTGGCCTCTTGGTAGTAGGAGAAGCAAGCCGTGATCATGACCACAACAGAAAGGACGATACCTAGGTACAACTACATGAAGAGACACGAGAGAGTTAGGTGATCCTTAATGGTCACAATAACAATTTAGATAAAGACTCGCTTACGTTATCACTTGCGGGTTCATCTTCTGAGGCAGCCTGGATACTATAAGCCACAAAGCAGAGGAAGGCACCAATCCACAGCAGCATGCAGAAACCACCAAACAGCTGGAAACCAGGGGAAATAACATTTAAGCTTTGGTGGTTGTACTCACTTTTTTTGCATTTATAATGTGTGAGTTAAAACACAGGTTTGTGGTTTTCATGGTGAGGATGTTGGACTCCTACCTGTTTGCAGAACTTGACCCATTCGGGTGTTGTGGGAGGAGGTGTGAGGGCGTTGGGGCCATCTCGGGCCAGGATCTCTTTTGCTCTGGAGGAGGAGAGACCCTAAAAACAGTGTCTCAGTTACCCCAGAAGTTCAAAAGACTTGTCTGTACATGTGTAGTACAGTATAGTTACATCCTACAACAGTAATAGTGTAGTATATTTACTGGTTCCTGTCACCCTCTTAATTGCCTTTTGTGGAACATTTAGAGTTATAGAGTATATGTAGAGAGTTGTACTTTTTTTTGCAAAATATATCTTCACTTGAACTGCTTATAATTCATGTCTATAATGTAGGTTATGACACTGCTTTACATACAAACCAGTTCATTAACTAAAGCACTGACTGCAAATAAAACCTTTTTTCCTTCTTTATGTTTAAAATCTAAGTTTTCTGTGTAAAGTTGTCACTGTCTGGTGGTTCAGTATGCCCGAGCCGCTCCTTCTTCCCTCTATTGTTCCCTCATTTCTTTGCTGTCTTTCAGCTGGGGCCTCCATTTATCACCTACTTCTCTCTGGTTGAAAAAAAACTTTAAACCTGCTCTTTTCTCATTATGTCTGCATCTGACTGCTCAAATCTAAGTTTTTTTAATCTTATATTAGAGAGAAGATTCCAATGCCGTTTTTTTACTTGTTGGGGCAAGGCAGTGGTATTTTCTCTGTAATTTTACAATTTTATGCACAAAATGAGCTAATGTTAAATTTGATGTTTGCTACAGGCCACACAAAAGCTGTCAAGGCAACAAATGACTGAAAAAACAAGAAAGTTCAAAAACATTAAGCCTGGAGAACATATAGCAAATTATTAAGTTATTATTATTTGATTGCTTTTTAGTTGTTTAACATGCTTACCTATAAAAGAGATGTGAAAAAAATAGTGGCTCGTGTGGATTAAAAGTCTTTTAGTTTTCATTTTCTTCAAATTTAAGAATTTGGTTTGTAAAACTAGACCAATAAAACAGAACTCCGAAACTAGATACTGCTCATAGTGGGTGAGAAACTGAGATCTTGAACATTTTATATGCTATTATTTGCATGCACACCATGATGTTTTTCAAGACTACCTGATCTTTCCTGGCCTCTGTCCTTACCATCTCAAACACTCACAAAAACAAAGACACATATTCGGAGTCCTCACCATGACTAGGTCGGTTCCATATTTTCTGTGAATCTCGTCCACGCTTAATTTGTGATCATCCTAAGGAGAGTGTGGGAGAGAAAAAGACGAAAATGTCATTTGAGGCTTAAAAAACGTCCCTGTAAATTCCTCCAGAAGGACACAGGGGACAAAATGCATCTGCACTTTACACATTGCTCCATACAGAGTCATTTTAAGATAAGAATCTTTTTGTGTTTGAACACGGATTTTCACATGTTATAAACTCTTTATACTATATTGGCATACTTAAATTGTGCCAATCAAACACTTACATGAAAGATTATCCCAGAGTGGCTTCACATAATTTACGTACTCACCAGGTCAACTTCTTTTTTCAGGTCCTCCGTATCCCTATTTTTTCTGCCCTTCTTGCTCCTCTTCTCCTCGTGGTCTGCGGTTGCTGCCAGTTTGTAGTCATCTTTCATTTTCTGTTATGAACAAAAGGGAGTTCTGAATACGACTAAAATCGAAGGTGATTTTAAAGCAGAAAGTTGCATGAAACTAAATTATTAATTATTGTCAACAATTAAAAAATAATGTATTGTTAACTGATATGCTGTTAAATATTAGAACAGCAAATTCAAATTCAAATAGATCATTTTAGAATATGTTTTAAGTTTCTAAAGCTGTAAAGAAATTAATGTATGTTTTCACAGTGTCACAAAATAGGGTTTTAAATAAAACTGATACAACATGAAACATGCTGGAAAGTTGCCTTTAAGATTTTACATAATGAAGTAAAATGTGTCATTATTTATATAATTTTGAAAAATGTCTCTTCATAGTTGATAAAGCAGTCAAAAAAAAAAAAAGAAATTTAACAGAGATGTAAGCTAATGTGTAAGTAAGCGGCAAGAATATTCAACCCTGAGCAATCCAAAACTGTCGAGCTCAGTCCAAACTTACTGTCACTCCCATGGTTGCAGTGCAGTCTGACAGCAGTCAGTTCAGTTAATCAGTCTAACCTTCCTACTCCGCCTCCCTCTTTCAGTCCAGTTCTCTCCTGCGTCTTCCACTCTGCCCTGAACATAGGTGGCTTAATTTCAGCTTACTTTTATACCTGTGGAGGAGGAGCTTAGAGGAAGGAAGCGTGGAGGTTAAACTCAATAGGTCATGGGTTGGGGGAGGTATTATGATTAAACTCCTCCAACACTCAAATTTTTTGCTTCAGTCACTGCCAAGGGTACCCGTCAGCTGTGTCCAGAAGCCCAACAGCTAACCACGCTTGGTTGGACTCCTTCAGCTTGATGGCTCCCTTCAGCTTTGGTGCCACTACTCAGTGCAGATATCTTGGCAATAGAGCTACCACAATTGATCAGTCAACTTCGATAACCCTTCATCCTTGTCATCCTTGCGTTGCTGGAAGGGGAAGTTAAAGATCTAACAAACAAGGATCCTCTGCCAGACATGCACAATGAACCCTCCCTATACATTTGGGCACAGCAAACCTCACTGCGAATCTGGTCATACAATTACAAAACCAATCATCAGCGACCTAGCGTGTTCTAGGTGCCTTGATGAACACAGCTATGCTCGAAAATTGACCCTGATATCCCTCATCAAACCAAGATGTTCTCTGCCCTTGATGTCTGGCTGGTCGGAGTACATGGAGTTACAGGATATGTTTGCTGTAAACGTGTGAATCAATGTAAGCATGTTATCATCTCATTAAGCAAGGTTAGGATGGGTGTAAAGATAGAAAGAAAGAAACTGCAAAGAAGAGATATACTGTCAAACAAAAAAAGGGTGAGGGAGAAAACCTAGAAAAGAAACACGGAAACTGTCTGAAATAAATGTGAGAGAAGAGATGAAGGAGAGGGTTATTTGCCATTTGCCTTGGGAAACCCCATGAGGCAAAAATATATCTAATTGATTAGGATTTTTTCACCATTTATGGAAGGAACAGGTTTTTAGAAATTAAAAAACAAATGAAAAAAATTACAACTTCTAATCTTGTAAAATTCATAAATCTTTAAGGGGTAGTTTTGTCAACAAAGACCTAGCATGTAATTAAAAAACACTTTTGACCCTGATGTCCCTCATCAAATCAATGTATCCTCTTCTTGTTTAGGAAGGAAGGGCTGTCCTTGAAGTTTTTATGGGTGCAGAGCAGGGAGTTGCTGGATATGTTTGCTGTAAACGTATAACTTTGTGTTATCAACCCACAGATGCAAAGAATGGAGCGACAAAGATGAGGTAAAATGTCAAACAAAAGGTGCAGGAGGAAAACATGGAAACTGTCTGAAATAAATACGAGAGAAAGGTAAATGATGAATGAGATGGTTCAAATTTAAGTACGAGGTCCAAAGCACACTTCTGTACATATTAATATATATTAGAAAAACACAAAATGGTTCAGTCCATCCCACGCTTGACTCACCTTTATAGCACAACTGATTTATTCTGCCTAGGCGAGCGCTAATGCACACTGTGAGTCATGTCTTTCTACAAGAAAGCAAAATCAAATAATTACAAGAAAGAAAAGAGAGGGGCAGAAAGCGGTTCTTAAGAAACACTGTTTCCAAAGAAAGGTGAGCTGAGCACAACAAGCATTTTACGATGTTAACCCAGAGAGTTTGAAAAAGTAGGAGATCTTACTTTACTTGAATTGACACACAGTGAGCTCATATACTGCCAACAGCAGCTATTCTCAGCAGTCTTTTATTTCGATGCGAGTATCAACGAGAATCTTGGCAGTATTAACGCCTGTTCAATTTGGGGGGGTTTCTTTCTTTTTTAAATTGTAAGATAAAGACCCCACAATAATAGACAGGAGAAACATCAAGAAGCACCTTTTCAGCACTTTGTTTTTTCAGGATTTATATGTTGGACCAATGAGTTTGTGAGGTAAGAAAGCCACGTGGAAGTTGATAAAATAGCATTTTTAACATCACTGTGATTTTTTTTGCTTCTGTAAAAATGTAATGTTGCTAAGTGTCAATGAAATACGCCTCCATACACAGGCACATAAACATTTCCAGGCTCACTTCTATGCTTATGTTTGTTAACTGAGGAAAACTGACAGAGATTGTAATGCATTTTGACTGGACCAAGATATGGTATTTACTGTTTGTTTGTTTCTTTTAAATCCAGCTACGCTTGGATACTTATTTAATATTATTATATAATTTTGTATGTTTTGCCTGATGATCTAGTTTGATCCCCGTCTTAGCACCACATGGGTTGAAAAAGGTATGAGGCTGTGAGTATGGAAAATGAAGGTTATTCTGAGGTTACTGCAGATAAACATTTATTATTTGTGAATAAATCACATATCTAGTGACGTCTTCTGGTGTTTATTGAGGAGTATTGTAGCCTAAGCATTGCAATTTAACATCCTATCCAACACTTCCCGCCCCCCATCCCCCATCCCCCATCCCCTGCCCCCACTCCAACTCAACAACCTGATCATAAAGGAAGGACTGTCCTTGATGTACGGCGGAGCTGGATATGTTTGCTGTAAACGAGCAACCGTGTGTTATCACCCCATTAAGCTAAGTGAGGAGGGGTATAAAGATGCAAAGAGAGAAAGAGAACAAAGTGAGTGGATGATATAAAACTAAAGAGGCAGGAGAAAAACATGGAAAATCCCGGAAATTAATGTAACAAATGTAAAAATAAATAAATAAATAAATAAAATAATAAAAAGATGTAAATGACAGTACACATCATTTCCATTTAAAGAGCATTACTGTTTAACTTTTATAAATATACTTGTAGTATAAATGTCTATGATGCTATGGGTATTTTGAAGACACAATCATGGGCGATCGTGGCTCAAAGAGTTGGCAGTTCGTCCTGCTGTAACCGGAAGGTGGCCGGTTCGAGCCCCGGCTCGGACAGTCTCGGTCGTTGTGTCCTTGGGCAAGACACTTCACCTACCGCCTACTGGTGATGGCCAGAGGGACTGATGGCACGATATGGCAGCCTTGCTTCTGTCAGTCTGCCCCAGGGCAGCTGTGACTACAACTGTAGCTGCCTCCACCAGTGTGGGAGTGAATGAATAGTGGAATTGTAAAGCACTTTGAGGGCCCCGAAAAGCACTATATAAATGCATTATTATTTTTCCCTGTTCCCTAGCACAATAATGAAATTATTTAAATCAGTTGTGTGACTGAATTTTGATTTAACCAAAGTGTGCTGAGAAAAGTTTGAATGTGAGATATAATGCTTTTAATCTTCTTAATTAATTTTTTTTACATTTAACATCACATTTTTTTTAAATAGAGTAATTGTGCAGTAAGGTCAACATATCACTTTATCTCAGAACTGGACAAGTAAGTAGAATTTATTTTTCTTAGCACTCTAGACACTGGCAACAGCAGCAAAGAGACCCTTTCGGTTCTGTTTCATTTATTGCTATAGTAAACAGTGACAAACAGACAAACTGAAAAGTTTCAGATTTGGAAACACACCATTTAGCAGTGAGTCATTCCCGTCAACTTCCTTTCAACAGTCGTGCAGTGTTTAGGTAATTTGAGTCAGGACTTTAAGACTGGATAGCGGTGTTTGTTCAGAAAACGTTTCTCAAAAAAAGCCATGCTAGTAACTGCCCTTCACACTAATACTCCCTTTATTTCCCTGAAAGAATGAAACCATCACTGCTCACTGCCTGCATTAAAAGGTCACTTCTAAAAAAATTCCCAGGTGATGCAGTGTTTAGCACTATCACCTTACAGCAGGAAAATTGGGCTTTGGTGTGGATCAGTTGATTTCATGGTTTACAAATAAAACGTAGGCTTTTTAATGGGCAGTAATAACAAACATTTTAATATTTTTTTCATTTGGTTTTTAGTGAAGTTGTATTCACTCTATGCACGTTTTTTCTTTTAGATTGAAGGACTCCCCGGCAATAAATGCTTACATAGAGTAAAACTGGTTTCCTTGATTTCAAACTACGTTGGCTGACATCCTGTAAAGGGCCCCTTGGTCTTATTCAATTTTCTTCAACTAATAAGAATGAAACCCAATCTCAGGGCAAACATAAGAACAGTGCTTTTGATTTTTAGTTCATTTAACAGCTGCAAGGAGTTCAATGTCAAAGGCATAAGTAGCCTTAAATGTACTATTGTAAGAGTCCTCCAAAGGACTATCGGAAAAAAATTAATAAACTGTTCACTAATCAGTGTTTGATGGAGTAAACCTACCTTAAAATGTCCCAAAACATGGATTTTTCATAATTGTACTTCAGAGATGTTTTGTAGTAGAGTCAGTCAGCACCATCGCAATGGGATCCCAGCTCTGTGACCTGTAATCAAAGTCAAATATCTGCAATCACAGTTTTGCAAAGTTTGGGAGAAACACTTCAAATAAAGAGATAGACTAGATACTTGCTGTCAACACCAAATTCAAATATGCCACAGAAGGGGACAATTTATAGCCGCATAATTACTAGCAGTCACAGGGGGAAATAAAAATACAAAAACTGGCAAGATGGATTTGGTGACTGACTGTTCAACTTGGATTTTTCATATCTTTATATCTTTTGTTAAGGTGATGAAAGGTCATGGATCAAGTGTAGAAAGCCACTTTGTCTTTCCTGGGGGAATATCACCGCACTTCCTCAGGAATCACAAACTTGATGTGAATTTCTGTGAAATGGCAATTATTATTCTTAATTGTGAAACAATACAGTTATACAGGGAGAGAGAGAGAGAGAGAGAGAGAGAGAGAGAGAGAGAGAGAGAGAGAGAGAGAGAGAGAGAGAGAGAGATTACAACGACAGTGTTTACTTAAATGGCAGTTTAGTGATAACCTCTGTGCTGCAAGACCTGGCAAATAAAGAAATCACTGAAATAGAACCTATCTGACAAACGGAAGCAGGCAAAAAGATCTCAAAAAGCAACCTATAATCTAAAGAAACGTCTGAGAAACAAATTAATTGATGTCTATTTGCATTGAAACGATTACAAAGCCATTTCTAAGGCTTTTGGACTTCAGTGAACCACAGTGATAGTCATTATTCAGAAAGGTCACCTCTGAATGGCTAAAGAAAAAAAAAACTAATCAAAATGAAGGTTCTGGAATGGTCTAGTCAGCACTCAACTTATGTCTAGTGTAGAACTCTCTAATTTTAAAATTTTGCCTTATAGCATTAGGGTTATATCAACACACCATTCAGAGTGACTGATCCGATTTCTAGATATTTACAAAACAAGACAAGTGTGTATGACTTGTGCTCTTTAAATGATTTCCAAGAGTGAGTGTGTCATAGAGGAGGGATATGTGCATTACACAGAAATCTTAAAGACAAAAAAGGTGGTGACAACACAGAGTAAACAAATGAGCCATGAAAGAGAGACCTAGAAGGCACTTTTATGTTAACCACAGCATGAAAACAATGCAACAACGATCTGCATTGTTGTTGATTAATGCAAATTTACTATACAATATTTATATAGTGTGTATCACACAATTTTCCTTTTATTACTTTCTTTTTTTGTGTAAATGGACTCCTCAGTGAGCTACAGCACCAAGAATGTTTGCTCAAAATACCCCTCACCAAACTATAAAACAAGAGTTAATCAACTCAACAATCAGTAGTTCCTCTTTGGCAGCTGCACTAAGTCTTTTGAAAATGTTAAACATTTGCACACCCTTCGTTCTCCTTTCAATGATTTAAGCATCAAAATGTGTTGTTAGTTTTAAAGCAAAATTAAATTTAACTAAATATCTGGATTCATAAATGCTACAGTACGCATTTATTAGACTACCTGTCATTAAAACAAGAAAACACAAATATTTTAGAACCAAAAATTATATTGTTAATAGTTAGACAAATACCAAGCTGATCTAAAGATTGTAAACACAGTGCACTTGTCTGAGGAGTCAGTCACGCATAAGGTCATTCTTACCAGCAGCTGAATGACCTAATGCTTGAAAACATTTTTGGGGTTATCTTACTAATCAGCTTGTTTGCTACATTGTTACCTATATATACAAACTTCAGTTGCTTGTGTATATAGGACCACTTTGTGTCTTCCTTCTATATTTTATATTCCCCTTGCTATAAGAGCTGTGTAACACCCAAATTTCTCATTCGTGGTATAGTAAAGCTCTATTCTATTCTATTCTATTCTATTCTATTCTATTCTATTCTATTCTATTCTATTCTATTCCATAACATTAGTCCACTAAACCTGTTTTTCTTACCAGAAATGCAAGTAAAGTATTTAGCCTAATAAAAAAACACAACGACATTGATGTGGTTTACTATTTTTTCTGTGTTTTTATTAAATGGTAAATTTGAAAATGAGTGAATAAAAACATTTTTTTAAGTTTTAGCATTAAAAGTTTTAGCATTAAAAACATAATTTTGATTAAAGGCACACACAGTAATTGTGATTAAGAAAATCATTTTTATGCTTATCTGGTTAGATAAGCATAAAAATGATTTTCTTAATCACAATTACTGTTAATTTATTTACTTCTGCTATGTTGCGCGCTTCAGGTACCCCTTAAAGGATTAGTAGGTGATTATTGAATCACTGCAAGATAACAGCATTATATCATGTCTAATAAAATGGAATAGCATTTAGCTGCTGCTATATTTTAAAGCTCCAGTAGGCAAAAGTTTAATGTAAAGTACAACTGCTTTACCACATGAAAAATCTATTCATTTAATTACATTTTCTAAATGTTCTCTGAGTTATGAAGTTCACTGCAACTTGTCAGCTGAATTGCATCTGCTGACACAGTGTGTGGTAAAAAGAAGAAACTCTCTGAAGCAGCTTTTAGGTTTATTTGAAAAGGAATAGCTTAATAAATGTAAATATGCCAATATAGAACATTTATTTTTAAACTTGTAGGTACTATTGTTCATAAGGCCCAACAGGGTGAGAATGCAGCATCGGCATGAAGGGGAAGAACAACGACACTCTGATTCTGGGCCAGTGATTATTAATTTTATTTTTTTTGCATTGTATTGCTTGTTTGTTTTCTGCTTGGGATTTAAATAAAAATGTAATGTTTCAGTGTAATTTTGACACGCTGAAGTAAAGACAAGATATTTTCTGTTGATTCAAAATTCAGGAACATCTGTATTATTACTAAAACTATAACTCTTGTAACGCTTTTTTATTTAGTAAATTAACTTTTTGCATGGATCTTTGCAAAGAAAACAAACACTAATCATTTTATAACCACTTATACATTTTAATGAATACAGTTAAGATTTTGTGACATTTTTTGTTTGCCACCGGTTTAAAGATTCTGTTAAATTACATTACTACCAGTGGTGCTGTAACAGCACAAGTTTCAAGGATTAAGCTGTAACCACACTGTCAATCAGACTTTTCAAGCCACACTTATTACATTCTTTGTTCTTTCTTCCTTCCAGAGACATGAAAGTGCCCCTATTTGTCCTGTGGAAGTCAAAATACATCCACTTACCCGTGTTCCCACTCCCAACAGCTAGACCTTGGACCACTACATCCGATCTCTCGGAGACTTGAGGTCTGGGTAAACAGCACACTGGAAAGTCGAATTGCACTTATAAATAAATAGTTGACATAATTCCTTATTTTTAAAAGACCTGCTAGTTTATGTCGATGTAGTGTTAAAATGATTTCAAAAACAAAGTTTCTGAACGTCACGTAATAGCCATGTAGTTATAAAGTTGTAGGAAAATACTGTCATGAACCACGAGTAATGAATAAACTGCATAATCTAAACTGAGCTTGAAGGACAAATACAGTTTTGTATTACAATTTATTTTGTAAATACTGATACACTGATCTGTGCTAATATTTACAATAAGAAACCACAGTTTTGTATTACCAGGAGCACACTGGGAGCTTCCATCTCACAAATCTAGCTTCCAGCGCTTTGCTGTTATTTATAAAATTCATTCATCATTTCTTGCAACATAAAGAAAACATTCTTTCTTAACTCATATTTTTACTTCCCAGGTTGAAGATTCACAGCTGCCTCCAAAGAGGCGAGATTGTCTAAAGAGAAGATGCTCCACTGAGTTGTCTGCGACAATGGTCAGAACCTGGATAGTGCATCATGATGGAGGGTGTTTAATACAACAGAACTGAACATAGCACTGATTGGTGATCCATTAAACTCCATAACATAGGTGATATTTATTTTTCATTTACCGTGTGTTTCTTTGAAATTTGTTGATTATATCTTCTTTTATGCTTTTCTTTTTTACAGCTTATGTCCAAAGATTTAAACAGTTTGTCCTCATTGGCAGTACTTTAGCAAAAGTCTATGACCTGTTTGCCTAAATTATTATCATTATTATTAGTATTCTTTTTTATCAAAGAAGGCAAAGAACATCCAGTCACATGACAATACAACTACTAACTTCATGCTCATTACCCATGCATGGTTCAGTTGAAATAAACTCCAGAAAACTGATATCTATTCACCTTTTTTGTTATAATTTACGTAAAGTATTACATCTTACATTGTAATACTGTATACAGACAACTTGTGTGATGCATTCATCTAGTTTTTAATCATATATACATTCATAATTAAAATAATACTCACAGCAAAGGCAACATTTCTTTCTTTAAATGTCTTTAAATATATAAGAAATGATCTTGCAACTGATTTTGAAGTTATGTTACTTCAGGAAATACCAAAAGCAACAGCGCTAGTGTTTAAAAACAAAAAGAAAAACAAAAGTCAGAGTTGAGGTTTTCTGAGGAGAAGATGTAGGTTTCTCTTCCAAACATGGACAAAGTTAAATAGAAATATAAATTTAATTGGTTTCGTTGATATGTTACTGGGAACCAAAAGGTTTGCAGCTATGACTGGAAACCCCACCTCAGCGTTCCTGTTGTTAGCAGAAATCTAAAGCAAAGCTATAAAGTTTAGCTGAGATATTTAAGATTTAATGAATGATCAGGAAACTCAGTGCACCTGAAATGACCTTGTGATCTCTAACTGCTCATCAGATTATTAGAAACAAAAGTAAACTTCATAAATGACTGGCCTGGAGCCAAAGAACGCTTTTGACTCTGATGTCCCGCACTAAACAAATATGTGCATTTTCTGTGTACTGGAGTGTGCAGTGAGCAGGAAAGGTTGTCTTAATGGCTGGCCGATGCAGGTTGTTGGATGTGACGTTTATGATTCTTTGTAGCCACTTGGCTATGCATGGTGCAGGGTGAGGTGGAGATGAGGTTGTTAAAGTACAAGGGGAGGGATTTTTTAAAATACTAGGAGGACAAGGAAAACATTTAAAATCTCAGAAATGAATGTGAGGATTACACAACTTAGTGTCCATAAAGTAGCAGGTGCCCCTAAACAAATCATCTCTAACTTCTTCTCAGAAAGTTAAAAACTTTGGAGAGTATTCACAGGCAAGATACTGAACCTTGGGGAAAAAAAACCCTGAGACAGTTTTTTTCCCCCACTTTTAACATAACAAAGAAACTTACAAGAAAACTGAATAAAAATGCAGACAGCCTTGATTTTAGATTAGAAATATTTTATTTCGGTACACACATTCATAAAGATATTCTTAATCTATCCATGCTTTGTGGTGTTTTTAGAGCTATAGCATCTCTAACAAACACTTAAGATAACATTAAGTAGTGATGAAACACACACTGCCTTCATGTCTGTCTCATGTTGGCTCAGTAGTATGTCTCCTTCTCCAACCAGCCTAAAAACCAAAGGAGACACGATTAGGGACATCATTTTTGTGAAATTTCACCTCACATTTTTTTTAAATTCTTTATGTTGTCCAAATGACAAAGACTTTTGATATAACTCTGTTGATTATGCATTTGTAATTAAATATGTAAAAGGCTTTAACATGGACAGTTTCACAGAGCCAGCCCTGCATACAGGTTCTGCTTAGATTCAAGCATCGTGACTGACTTTAACTAGTGGAGTTTAGAGTTTACTTTGGTTTCTTAAGATATTTAAAACTTTTGGACTTTTAGTACCTTTTTCTTTGCTGATGCTTGTAGTCTCAAGGTTAGTTTAAATGTTAACTAATGTAAATACATTTGGTGGAAGGGCTAAAAGGATTGATATTTGATCATGATATTTAGTTTTTAGTTTTAAACAAATTATTAATTAAAATTATTAATAATAATGGCATTGAAAACAGGATTTATATTAATATGTGTCCAAAAAAAGCTAATGGATTTTTATATATATGAGATGCTCTCGCTTAAATAGATGGGGCCAAATGGAACTTAATAACTTATTAACCTATTTCTAGTCAGAGAAATTCCAAAGAATTTATGTGCAAGTAATTTTTTTAAAAATGGGTGAAAAAAGAAAAGGCTTTCATGAAGGAAAAAAATATGGATAAAAATGTGTCCTATGTGCCTCGTAAAGTGTTTGGTCATTCCTGAATAAAACTCTTACCTCCTGGGTGGTGTCTGAGGATATATTTTCTGATTTCATCATAAAAGAAGAGAAGGAACCCGTGCGGTAATCCACAGAACCACCATAATGGCCTAAGGTTTGGATGGACAGACAGAGACTGAATTACAACTACTACACTGACATTATTTCTTTGACGCTGCTGAAGTGACTGAGGACATCAGGTGAGGAGTCCAAGGACAAAGGGAAACTTGAGTGCCAGAAGATTATGGGGGAGGTCTGGACTGGCATGAATGGTTTAAGGTAAACAAAGAGCAGTGAAGTCAAATGTAGCGTGGAGTTGGTCAATGAACTAAATCTAACAGGTCTGACTAACAGGTCACAGAACTGCACAGATGTCTGTCACCTTTAGACATTTTCTGATGACTGCAGTAGTGGGAGGTATCAGAGAAGGTGGTGAGAGTACAGGACTGTGGTGAACAACTTTTGCACTTGGCATAACCATCTGCTGTTTAATGTGGAAAAGACTAAGGAACTGGTTGATGATAGGAGGAGGACATGAACATCAGCGACCCCTGCTTACATCCGTGGGGTCTGTGTGGAGGACTTAAAACACAAAAGCCTTCTATTAGGGAGGGGAAAGCTATCTTCTTTTTCAGAGAAAACATCTGCCAGAAGATGAGCAGGATGATTTATGAGTCTGTGTTGGCCAGAGCCATACTCTATGATGCGATGCAGGGGCAGCAGATAACAGACTCAACTGATCCTGCCGATGTTATGGTGAATGTTGAAAACGACAAGAATTGGCTTGGGAACGTGAATGCCCGTACATAAATGAAGATGGCAAAGGAAACAGCCACAAACACCACAGAGAAAAGGACAATTGTGCATTAGGAATTAGTCATTATAATTGCTGAATTTTAAAAAAAAATGCCTAGAAAGGGTATCTCTAAGCGTTCACACTATTGCCTAATGGAAAATCATAGTATTAGCTTATCTGTTTTACTCACTTCATAGGGTACATTTTCAGGGCAATGTCCATGCCTGGGCAGTATGACAGGAACACAGCAAGAGCCAGCTCCTCAAACATCCCAAAGATAAGGACATTGTTCCTGTACAAAAGAAAAATGTCAGTCAATATCAATAAAACTGAAACTATTTTTTTAATATTTGATTTGAGTGCTCTTTTTCTGTTCTGGAACTTGGTATATCCTTTGTTGTACTACATATATATTTAACATTGGCTCATTTTCTTTAATAAATAAAATATTAAGTTTCATGTATATCCATTTCAGCTTTTAGGAAAGCTTTCAGCCTGATTTGTGGAATAATACAATTTGAAACTGTTTGCGGAGCTTGTTCTTCAAATGGTTCGAGTTTTATACTTGTTCTAGGCTGTATGGATGCTGATGTCAGTCAGAAATGCTAAACAAAAGCCCCTGGTACTCCACCACCAGCCATATGTCCATTCAGTGACACACTGGCCAAGGAACAAGCTCTGGAAATGGACAACTCTGTTCTGAGACATATGAAGCTGGAAACACTGGCAACCAGAGATGGGCAGTAACGCGTTACTTGTAACTTCTTTTTACAGTGAAAAAAAACCCTAAACTTCCAAGCAAGCACCGAGTGCGCTACCACGTAATGGGAAAGTCACAGAGCAACTCGCGGATTCTTCAACTGACCGCTGTGGCACACCTGCACCAGGGTAAACCTCCGCCTACCGCAGTCCTGCTTTACAGGTGAAAATAGAGCAACAGGACCGCTAGTCTTTGACTTTATTTATTTTCTGCTGTGTTTTACTTGCATCTATTTGAAAGAGTGAGTGTAAACACACACACAAAATAAATATTTTATGTGCTGGAATGTGCAGAAAATAGGTTTAAATATTAAACAAATTTCTTCCAGTCAGAGAATGTTGCATATAATTACATTTTTGCTTGATGCATAAAGTTAAAAGATTGAAACTAATAAAACAAGTTTTAAAAAGAGACTTTTCCATTTGATTACATTTTGTATGATGGATTATGCAGAAAAAGTAGAATTGGGTGAAAGATCTATCGCTTTATCACCTCTTCAGGTTGTAAATTGTGTTTTTAAAAAGTAACTAAGTAATTAATTACTTTTGAAAATAAGTAATCAGTAAAGTAACGGGATTACTTTTGGGGGGAAGTAATCAGTAATTAGTTACTGATTACTTTTTTCAAGTAACTTGACCAACATTGCTGGCAACCATAGTCAGTTGTCTTCCAGGGAGGGAAATTTAAATCTGCTGGCTAACTTAAATTCTGTAAAATTATAATTCACGTTGGCAGTAATGACACCCAGTTATGTCAATCAGAGGTCACTAAAATTAATATGAAGTCGATGTGCAACCATGCCAAAACAACATTGGTAGTTTTCTCTGGTCCCCTCCTGAATCGGACCAGGAGTCACACGTTTAGCTGAATGTTCTTAAATTGCTGACTGTCTGAGTGGTGTCCAAAAAAACCAATGTGGGCTTTATAGATAACTGGGAAACTTTCTGAAAGAAACAAAGTCTTGTTAGGAGAGATGGCATCCATCCCACTTTGGATGGACCAGGTCTCATTTCTTAAAATCTGGCCAAATTTATTAAACATCCCAAAACGTGGGACCAGGAAGCAAAGTTGCGGTCTACACAGGCCAAGGGGAGAGTGTCGCAGCAATTTCCGACTCATTAATCAACCAAAGAACCAGACAGATTTTTAATCATTTGAAAGCCTGATTCTTAACCTTGTCCACCCCAGCTGAAAAACTAAAAAAAAGAAAAAAGAAAAACAGTCTTATTTGTTATCATCTATCGTCCACCTGGGCCTTATTCAGAGTTTCTGTCTGATTTCTCCGACTTTTTATCCGATTTAGTGCTCAGCTCAGATAAAATCATTATTGTGGGTGATTTTAACATCCATGTAGATGCTAGAAATGCCTCATCATGGTGTTTAATCTGTTAGACTCAACTGACTTATTTCAAAATGTAAAAGAACGCACCCACCACTTCAGTCACACTGTAGATTTTGTTCTGACAAAGCGCACAGAAACTGAACATTTAACAGTGTGTCCTGAAAACCCTCTCTTGCCTGATCATTTCCTAATAATATTCAAATTTAGAATAATGGATTACACAGCGGTAGGGAGTAGATTTGATCACAGTAGATGTGAAATGGTATCTCAAAAATTTGGAAGATCATGATTTAGCCTGGAAAAGTAATCTGCTGCTTTATTTTTAAAAAAGCCCACCGTGAAGCTAGAACATCTTAATAATCATCACTGACTGAAGAAAATAAGAACAACCATAGTTTTCCCTTCAACACTGTAGCCAGGCTGACGAAAAGACAGAGCTCTGTTGAACCAACCATTCTTTTAACATTAGGCAGCAATAACTTCATGAATTTCAGGAAAGCCAAAACTAGGGAGCTAGGAATACAATAAACAGAAAAGGAACACGAGGGCTGGCACGACAACAGGCAGAGAAAAAAACAGGGCTAAAATACACAGAGTAATAATGAGGGAATGAGACACAGGAGGGAAACAGAGCTGGGAGTAATCAAATACACACAAGACAGGGAGGAAGCAAAACTATTGTGGCCAACCTTTACATGAAGGAACTGGGAAGGAAGGCTCTTGGCTCTTTTAAAGGGGGAGTACCCAGCCACTGGTACAGATATGTGGACGACACCTGGGTCAAAATCAAAACCCAAGAAGTGGAATCCTTCACTGCTCTTTTTAACATTCACCAGGGAAGACACAAAGGATGACTGTTTGCCATTCCAGGACTGTGCCGCCCACATTGAAGGGAATGGAAAACGGAAGTTTACTGAAAGCCCACACACACAGACCAGAGCATCCTATTTGACTCCTACCACCCTCTGGAACACAAACCTGGAGTAATCAGGACCCTACACCACCAGGCAGAAAATGTTCCCTCTAAGCCTGAAGGAAAAAAGAGGGAACCCACACATGTAGAGGAAGCTCTGAAACATGTGGTAATCCTAATGGGGCTTTCATCAAGTCAGCAAAGATGCACAGAAAAGAAGGTCAGACACCAGCTAGGGAGGATCAGAAAGACAGACGTAACAACATTATCCTCCCCTATGTAGCCGGTGCATCAGAGAAATTCAGGAGAGTTTTCTCCAAGCACGACATCCCAGTTTACTTCAGACCCAGCAACACACTCAGACAGAAACTGGTTCATCCCAAAGACAAACTCCTAAACACAAACTTAGCGACATAGTGTGTGCCGAACAGTGTAGCGAGCAATGCCCAGACCTCTACATTGGAGAGACGAAACAGCCACTTCACAAGCGCATGGCACAACATAGAAGAGCCACCTCCACGGGACAAGACTTGGCTGTCCATCAGGATCTAAAGGACAAAGGTCACTCTTTAGAGGATGCCAATGTCATATTTTGGACAGAGAAGACAGTTTGAAAGAGGAGTGAAAGAAACCATCTATGTCCGCTGTGAATGACCATCTTTGAACAGAGGCAGTGGTTTACACCAACTGTCTGCCATCTGTAATCCAGTTATGAGATCCCAGATGCCTTAGCGTCCACTCAGATGCTTTTCTTTGCAAGCTCCTTAGACCAAAACTGAACACAATGAGCACTAGAGAGGGACTTTCAAAATAAAACAGGAAACATGAGACATTCACAAGACATGACTGACTGAGGAGACACAGGAGATGCACAAACATAGAGACAATGGTACCTGATATGAAACGAAGAACACAGGGAAGGCGCAGAGTAAACACAGGCACAGAGACTATACACAAGCTATAATAAACACTGACACCCAAAACCACGAATAAAACTAAATCAAAGAGTATTACTTAAACTTGAAATACAAACACTGGGTGAAGGTTACAAGTGATCTTTTTATCTCTGTGCTTGTCCTGCTAGACAAGAGAGTTTAATCCTGTTGACCATAACATTTTATTACAGCAATTAGAGCGTGCTGTAGGCATTAAATATGCTGTGCTTCCCTTAGGTCAGCGGGTCTCATACTTTTGACATAATTCCCCACATGGCAGGAAGAAATATTTTCACGCCCCATCTAAACATCTAAACTAGCTGAGCCTTTATTTAGATAATAAACTAATTCACAATGAATCATTCAGTAATTAGTTTTAAACTGCTTTCATTTTAAACAGCTATTTGTAACTTTTGTCAGTAGACTGCTTCATTAGTCTGCACCACGAAAAAGCAACAAGTTAAACAGAATGTGAATATAGAAAAATAAAGTTCAGTCTTATAAAAAAAAGAAATCCAGAAACTTGTGAACAGAGATAAAAACACGTTTAAAATAGAATGACTCCTGTCTCAGAGTGATGCTGAAAAACTTGTTCGTGGATTTACTACTTCCAGGCTGGACTACTGTAATTCATTATTATCAGGATGTCTGAAACCTTCAGTTGATCCAAAATGCAGCAGAAAAGTACTAACAGAGACTAGAAAGAGAGAGCATATTTCTTACATATTTTTTGTCTTCATTGGCTCCCTGTTAAATCCAGAATGAAATATTAAAACCTTCTCTTCAAATATAAGGCCTTGATCAATCAGTGCCCATCTTATCCTAATGACCTTACACTACCATATCACACCATAAAAACTCTTTGCTCTCAGGCTGCGTGAGAGAGTATTTAAAAGTAGAACGGGAGACAGAGCCTTCAGCTTTCTGTCATGGTCCAGCAGCCCTCATCGCTCGACCTGCCCGTTGTGTCTGAGTGTGTGTTTTTGCTGCTACTCCCCTCACATCTCTCTCTCCCTGTTGTGTGTGCTTTTGTGTGGGACTTTTGCATCCCTGGAGGTTTTGGCGCTGAGTATTGTTCAGCGCTGAAGTGTTCACTCACTGGAGTCAGCCACACCTGCTGCTCATCTGTTGCTGCCATCTGCAGCTGATTACCGTCATCGGCAGCATCCCTACTTAACAGTGTATTGAACTCGTCAGTATGGCAGTGGATTGCTTAATGAAAACCTTGTTTGCTGGTGGATTGCCTAGCCATCACCAGTGTGTTTTGTCTTCACTATGAATCTGGAGCTGAGTTGTTTTCATGGGAGTGGAGCCAGTGTTTTGGAATTGGAGTTGCTGTTTCACGATTCCCACCATGGACACAAGCACTGTTTGGGATTTGGGAGAAATCGCCATGGGAACCACAGTGCTGGGACTTGCGCATTTTTTAACCCTGTAAATAAACTCACTGTCTTTTCTTGGAGGAGTTCTGCATTTGGGTCTCATTACCTCAGACCTGATGCTTTCAGACCCGTCTTCCTTGGAACCAGCTCATGAAATAGGGCTAAGCTACCCATGATGCATTGTTATTTTTAATCTTTGGCTCTCTTCCACAGCATGTCTTTGTCCTTGCTTTCTCCCCTCAACCTAACTGGTATTTCCCCCCCGAGCCTGGTTCTGCAGGAGGTTTCTTCCTGTTAAAAGGGAGTTTTTCCTTCCCCCTCTTGCCAAAGTGCTTGCTTGTAGGGGGCCAAATGATTTGGGTGTTTTTCTTTGTTTTATTGTAGGGTCTTTACCTTATGATATAAAGCGCCTTGATGCAAATGTTTTTGTGATTTGGCACTTAATACAATTGAATTGAAAAGTTCACACCCACTGGAGCTCTTTCAGATCTTGATGTATACGTACTTCATTCCTTGCTGCAAAATAGAGTTCCTCCTTGTTTTACAGATGAGCAGATCAGCCACCTGGACAATCACAATACTGGAGAAGAAGGCTGTGTGGCAGGTGAACTCCAAGATCTTTCTGCTCTCATATGTCTGGTGTATAAAAAAAGAGATGAAAAGATTGGAATGTTTTTGATTTTGAGCACTGAAACTTCAGTGGACTGTACCGTAAAGTTTGATCATTTTCACAGTCCAAAGTACAGCTAGTAACACAAGTCAGACTGACCCACTCCTGCCCATAGCTGTCTTCTAGGTCATTTAGAAATCTGTTATCCCAGAAGATTCTAAGTCCCATGAGATCCAAGGGCAAAAAACCATTTTCAGCCAGGACGACAAAATATGTGAAGAAGCCAGCTGAGGCCTGTATCATGCCTACCATGAAGAAAACAACAGAAAACATCAATGGATTCTTATCAGAGAAAGTTTGAACTTTTTATTTTACAACTGTGGCAGTTTCTTCATAAATAAACATGAACAAATATGACACGTCAATGTCATTCTATGCAAAGCCAAGGTAAATAGATATAATGGACAGAGAATTCAAAGATTATGACACAGAACCAAACCACAGCAGGAAATATTTGGGAATACTTTACAAATGTGATATTGAAATTGATCACAAAATGTTACTTAAAAAAAACCAATTATTGTTAATTGAATTTGGACCTATTAAGTTTCTTCAATCTTCATTCTTAAACATCTTCCTTTTTGAACATTTTTCAAATGAGAAACTTTTTACAAACTTTGTATTGTTACTTTTGCGACAATTGTGACCAGAGAATGGTACAAGAATGCACACACAAGAAGGCCCTGAGTAAATGTGGTTATCCCAACTGAATATTTCTCAAAGCTGGGAAGGCACCAAAGGAAAGCTCCAGCTGATCCAGGAGAGAAGGACAACCGCAGTCGAAGCCAAAACCCGTACTGATCCCATACGTGTCAGGAGTATCGGAACAGTTGAGACGCATTTTTTTCTAAACACTGTGTCTTTGCAGCTTTTAAACCCCAAAACATGCTGCGCCAAAAATTGGTCCACCCCAAGGATCAGGTCCCCTGACACAAACAGAGTAACATAGTGTAAACTGTTAAGTGCCAAGAGGATAGCCAGGATTTACAAATCGGGGAAACCAAACCACCTCTGATGAAGCGGATGGCACAAGAGTGAAGAGCTACCATCTTACAATGCTGTGATTGCAGCCATTACCCAACTCTCTGTGAATGGTACTCATGGCCATTGATCAGTGGTTGTTGATCAATAATCAATAATAATGACAATTTGCATATTAATGATCATGAAACTGACCTCACTGTCCAGTTTTCATTTAATGTTGCTAGTTTCATACGTTATGCAAATGTACCATTTTATAACGTTGGAGACTTCTTCCATCTCAGTCAGTTGAGACAGAAGAAGACACTTGGATGAGTGATGAAACATTTCTCCTACTGAAAACGGGACGTCCTGATTAACAGAATCAACTTTTGGGGATTTCTTTACCTGTATGATGGAGCATGCATCAAGACATAATACAGCAAATAGGAACAGAATAATTAAAGGTTTAAAAGTATAAATAATGTGTTACCAATCTGTCCATAAGCCATACTGATGAGTCTCTCGTTCACCAGCCTGTCTGATGCATTTCTGGGCTGTCTCTTCATGATGTCACTCTCAGCTTGTTCATAAGCCAAAGAAATTGCAGGGACCTGTGACACCACAAGTAAACAAAATCAACCCATAACTGCATTATCTACCATTTGAACCTCTACATAGAGCAGGATGAAGAGCCAAACAGCTCACCAAATCAGTTCCCAGATCAATACAGAGGATGGTGACGGTTCCCAGGGGCAGAGGGATGTTGGCGATCACAAAGAGGAGGAAGGGTGACATCTCAGGGATTTTACTGGTCAGAGTGTAGGCAATAGACTTCTTCAAGTTGTCAAAGATCAGACGGCCTGAACAAAGTAATTTAGCAGATTCAGTGATGCTTTGTATTTTATATAATTCGACATTTTTCCCAAGGTCTTACCTTCTTCCACTCCAGTTAAAATGGAGGCAAAGTTATCGTCCAGCAGGATCATGTCAGCAGCCTGTTTGGAGACATCAGATCCAGCAATGCCCATGGCAACACCGATGTCAGCTTTCTTCAGAGCTGGAGAGTCGTTCACACCATCACCTGTCACGGCCACAATGGCTCCCTGTACAAGGAATAAAGTGTTTTTTACAAGTCACAAATAAAACACTTGTCAAACTGTATCTGTGAGAATCCCCCCCGATGCTCACCTGTCTCTGGCATCCTTCCACAATGATCAGTTTCTGTTGAGGGGAGGTCCTGGCAAATACAATTTCAGTGTGGTTCCTCAACACATCGTCAATCTCCTCTGGGGTCATGTCTTTAAGCTCCCCACCATGGATGACACAGGCCTTAGCATCCCTGTAGATTAGATTACAACGGTGTAAGTATAACAGCAGTTGTTATCCAACGTCCTGTGTCTGAGCACAGGGCATGATGAAGACAAGATGAAAACATTGGTATAGAACAAAGACTGAATCAACCCTGGCAAAAAAAAGAAAAAAAAGATGGTATGTTAAGCAAAAAGCAACATTAGAAAATATTTGACTTCAGAAAATGTTGGATTCCCGCTGCATATGAATCACATTTTCCCCCCACACAACAGAAGTGTTATTACACTTGTATTACAAAGAATAAAAGTATCAGAGAAAATACAGTATTTTCAAGTAAAAGGCATTTTTGCTTTACAGATTACATGACCTCTGTTTATGAACAGCAGCTACTTATCCTCAAAGTTAGCTAAATAAATCTTGATAAGAGAACTAACCTAGGGTTGACCTCTGAAACTGGAACATTCAAGCGGGCAGCAATGTCTTCAACAGTCTCATTGCCTTCTGAGATGATACCCACACCTCTAGCAATAGCCTTGGCTGTAATTGGATGGTCACCTGTGATCATGATGACCTGCAAGGATTGAGTAGATAAAATGTTTAAAGTTTATGTGCAGAATTTGTTTTATAAACTATATCCAAAAAAATCAAAATTTGAGATGTTCTTTCAAAAAGTTATCATACCTTGATTCCAGCACTCCTGCATTTACCAACAGCATCGGGCACAGCAGCACGAGGAGGGTCAATCATGGACATGAGGCCAGTAAAGCACAGGTTCTCAGTGGGGAAGTTCACATCATCAGTGTCAAAAGCAAAGCCTTCTTTGAACTGGTCATCAGGCAAGTGATAGTGGCAGAAACCTATAAGGCACAAATAAAATGCGATTGAGATTTAATTGTCTGTTCAGAATCAGTCAGAATCTGTATCTGTTATGGTCTGGGAGGAAAGTTGCCTCGTTTCTCTCTGTACTGTACTCAACATGGTTGAAATGAAAATGAACTGTACCCAAAACTCTCTCTCCAAGACCTCCCAACTCAAGATAGGCGCTATTGAAGGCATCTTTTAGTTCGTCGTCCAGAGGCTGCTCTTTGCCGTCAAGCATGATGGTGGTGCAGCGATCCAAAATCCTCTCTGGAGCTCCTTTCATCACCAGCAGATGCTTGGTTTCTCCGGGGGTTGTGTTCTTATGAATAGAGAGCTGTAGGACAGCAGAAAGGCTGGATTTAAATGCAGGTCTTATCTATACTATCAGTGGTTTATGTAATGCAAAATGACTATGTTGTTCTACACTCTTGTGCCCATAACTGTTTATCAAAGAAGGGCACAGCTTCCAGGGCTCAGGTGGACTCTTAGGTGGAGTCACACATATAAACTAACATACAATCTTTATATACAATATCATTTTAAATTTTAATACATTGTGTGGATTGTTTACCTGGTATTTGTTTGTGGAATTAAAGGGAATCTCAGCAATTTTGGGGTATTTTTCTCTCATTTCACTAACAGATCCACAGCACAGCTCGATACACTTCAGCAAAGCAGCTTCTGAGGCATCACCAGCGATATTTCTCTGCGGGTTTTAGCAAAACCAGAAACGGATTATATCGATCATGGATCAAGTCCCTTTTTTAATAACAATATATTGCAAATTAAAATGAATGAGCAATAAATAACAATGTAATAGCTCGATTATTTGTTGGTGAATAAACAAATAAATTTACAACATTGACAAAAAGAAACCTGTAACCACACATATTATACAAATACTATTTGCAATAAATTACCCACCCTGTCACATTTAGTGGACTCACAGTGCAAGAAATACGTATGTCATATATGGTAGATCCAACAATCTCGCTGGCCACCTCTTGCAATGGCTCAAGCTGTATATTTAAAACATCTCCAAAAAGAAGATCAATACACCAGGTAATAAGCTCTGTCCACGCCTATGAGGACTTATTCCACTAAAAAGCAAAAGTTACAAATATTTTTCTCCAATATTGAATTTAAGTATTTTCTGATGATCAGAATCAATGAACTAGAGCAACACATTTATGATGAGCTTATAATTTTGTGTTCAATCTATGCCATTGTTACCCCATCGTTGCAAACCCTATTGGAGCCTTGCTGTGTAAACTGACATGAATCTGACATGAAAATGTAACTGCACTCATACCGCTGTCAATGCACCAGCATGAATGCTGTCAGTAACATCTCCCAGTTGCATATGCTATGCTATAGATTCTGCAAAGATTTACTGCAGATGTGTAATTTATGCATTAGAATTAGATAATTAGAGGAGTTTTAAAGATGAAAGTTTCTCACCTTCAGAATGGGAACATCGTTTTGGCCAGCCAGGAAGACGGCACGGTTGCAGAGTCCGGCGATTCTGGACAGAGCAGTCCAGGTGGGAGAGCTCTTTTGAAAAGCGACACCACTCTGGTTCTCAGTGGTGTCGGCCTCATGGATCTGGTTGTCAAACCACATGTGAGCCACGGTCATTCTGTTCTGGGTCAGGGTGCCGGTCTTGTCAGAGCAAATGGTGGAGGTGGAGCCCAGCGTCTCGACAGCCTCTAGGTTCTTCACCAGGCAGTTCTTCTTGGCCATACGCTTAGCAGTCAGAGTCAGACACACCTACAGACAAAACGTAAGTTTTCAAAACTGTAAACTATGACAACAATAAATTGAAAGGTATTTAAAGAGAGTGTCATTAGACACCAAAACTCACAGTGACAGTAGCCAAGAGACCTTCTGGGACGTTGGCAACAATGATACCAATGAGGAAGATAACACCATCTAGCCAGCTGTATCCGAGGATGACGGAGAGGATGAAGAAAGTAAGACCCAGGAAGACGGCCACTCCAGTGATGATGTGGATAAAATGTTCGATCTCAATGGCAATGGGAGTTTTTCCAGCTTCAAGACTGGAAGTAAGGGTGGCGATACGGCCCATGATAGTATTATCTCCAGTGTTGATGACGATTCCTCTGGCTGTGCCTGAACGGACAATTGAAATCCATTGATAATGGAACATGCTTGTGGGCAATATAATAAATATTATACATAAATTTCTCTATCAACCACAAGCTGTTCATACTCTACCTTCAACACAGTTAGTGGAGAAGAAAGCAATGTTCCTGGTTTCCAGTGGGTTTTCATGGGAGAAATCTGGAGAACGAGTCTGGGGCTCTGATTCACCAGTCAGGGAGGAGTTGTCCACCTGAGAGATTAAAAAGAAAGTAATACAGGTAAAACAAACACATGAATACTATTTAATAAATATGAATTTGACTTAAGGAATAAATGGGAACTGGTATGATGTTTGAATGAATCACAAAAATGCTACTCAGAATGAAGACCACCACATGCATCAATATACTTAGCAACTTAACATCCATGCATAAAAATGTTTCAGCTGAGCAATCAGCTTGCATGCACAAGATTAGCTAATCTAAATGGACTGAGGGCTGAGCTCGACTCTGTCGCCGCCATAACTAAATTATGTCTAAAACTAACTAAACATCACAGCATGTCTTCTTCTCATTTAAATAAATAATAGTAGATATCAAACACATGCTCTACAAAAATGTTTGCTGGCATTAAGAGTATTTGAGATACAGACCTTGCAGCCGTGAGCAGATATGATTCTCAGATCAGCAGGGATCCTGTCTCCGCCTTTCACCTCCACTAAATCTCCAAGCACCACCTCCTCGGTGTTGATGCTTTTCTTCTCTCCGTCACGGATAACCAGGGCTTGCTATGAAATCAAAGATTTTAGGAATTTTTGATTAACTCGGTTTGATTTTAATGCCAACACCAAAATTTCAGATGATAAAATGTATCATCAGTGCAGAACTTTTCCCTTAAGACTGTGCAAAAAATACTGCAGTTTCTTAATTCATATAAGCTGTAAATATGTTGAATTTACATTAGTTTTCCTTTCAGTGTCTCACCTGTGGGACCATGTTCTTAAAGGAATCCATAATCCTGGAGCTCTTGGCCTCTTGGTAGTAGGAGAAGCAAGCCGTGATCATGACCACAGCAGAAAGCACAACCCCTAGGTACAACTACATAAAGATAGAAGAGAGAGTTAGGTGGCACAGCAAACAGTGGTACAGATTGTTTATCTTCATGCATGCTCAATCATCCAGTGAAGGTAGTCCCAAAAAGTTGATTCTTTTCAACTGAAAAGGTTGCATCCAGATGAACAGGATCAACTTTTTGGGATGTACATTATTTAGTAGATAACAATTCAGATAAAGACTTGCTTACATTATCATTTCCAGGGTTCTCCTCTGAGGCAACCTGGATAGCGTAAGCCAAGAAGCAGAGGAATGCACCAATCCACAGCAGCATGCAGAAACCACCAAACAGCTGGAAACCAGAGGAAATAACATTCAGGCTTTGCTTGTTGTACTCACTTTTTTGCATTTCTAATATCTGAATTCAAACACAGATTTGTGGTTTGACTCTCACCTGTTTGCAGAACTTGACCCACTCGGGTGTTGTGGGAGGAGGTGTGAGGGCGTTGGGGCCATCTCGGGCCAGGATCTCTTTTGCTTTGGATGAAGAAAGACCCTAAAAACAGTGTCTCGGTTACTCCAAGCTCAAAAGACCTGTCTGTACAAGTGGAGTACACTACAGTTCTTTCTTTACAGGTCCTATGACCCTTTTAATTGTGTGTTTTGTGGGTCGTTGAGGAGTGTTTTTATTTTATTTATTTTTGTCATGTCCATCTAATGTCAGAAAAAGAAGTCAGACTTGACTTTGTCGCAATCATTTCACAGTGTTTCTTGGATAATACACCTCCAATAATGGCATTACTTCACAAATAGCCTAGTAAGTTGACAAAGCATTGAATGCAAGAAAAATACACCTACTGCCAAATCTTCCCTCCCCTCTCTCCTTATCACACATTTGGAGTGCTCACCCTTGTCAGGTCAGTTCCATATTTTCTGTGAAGTTCATCAAAGCTTAATTTGTGGTCATCCTAAAGTGAAGCAAAGACAGAAAGAGAGATGCATTTGTAAAAACAAGTCAAAATCCCAGTGATTGTGAAGCTGCAGCTATAATCTCCTTTGAGAAAAATCTTTTGTAAACTTCCCCGTGTCCTCCAGAGGGACACAGAGAGCACAAAAACGACTAAAAACTGAGCATTGTGGCTACGTTTTGGTCCATGGAGGAAATTTAAGATTAGCTAAAGCAAACAGTCAAGTAAGACTAGAATCTGTCTGTGAATGGAAACAATGTTGCTGCTAATAACCACTCTTTTAATATCTGACTGATGTTTCCTCCCAAGAGTTTTGCTCATTTTTTTGACATTGCAGTTGAATTTCCCAGCAGGGGCGTCCATCCTCACAAACTTGTAGCTGAACTTTAATCAACATAAATTCTAATGAAAGAAATTAACATTGATTTCATGACGTTGATCATGCACATTTGTAATTAGCCCCAAAAAATTATTTCAGCAATTTCATTAGTGTCAAAGAACAACTTATTGTAGTCTTAATACAGAATACAAGACACAACAGGAACAATATTCTCTATCTGCATTTTGACTTGATGCAGCATGTCATATCTTATATATAAAAAAAACATATATATATACATACATATATATCTGACCAAAGTACCTCAAGGCTGTATGGTGACCCTTTGCTAAATGCTGTGTACACAACTTTGAAACCATCCATACCTCCAACACTATTGTTACAATTGCGGATGACATGACTGCCATCTGACTTTTAACTGTAAGCAACAAAAACACATACAGGCAGGATGTTCACAATCTGACATCATGGCATGTGAGCAACATCTTGTCTCGAACTTCAGATGCCAGGTGGTCAGCATCACAAGGCACCTTTATTGTGATGACAACACCTCAGCAGTCGTGGGTGAAGCAACTTTTCTCTATATTTCTAAAGGAGATTAAGATAATATTGTTGATGCACTTGCACTGTTGTTTAAGGAAGTTGGTCCAGTACTTATGTCATTATATGTGAAATTAGTATAAATGTAATTTTCTTATGCTTGTAAAATTACAATAAAGGTCTTTAACCTACAAGTTCACTTTGACTTTAAAAAATTAAAGTTTCAATCGTCTGCTGCTCTGAGTAGGTTGAATACAAAATGATGCATTTCATTAATATTTACTTGTTCAATGAGAAGTCTTCAGCTTGGATGAAGTGTGATCAGTCACATTTATAAGCAGTTTTTACAGTGACATGAGAAAACGGGTGTGGTTGCATGGTTCACCCAATAAGCCATTTTCCTTACCAAATGTGCCATAGATAATGTGAACATGCCATACACTACTGTTGCTACTATTGCAGCTCGAGAACACTTCTCCACTGATTTTGATGTTCCTACTCAAAAAAAACCACATTTTCATCATGTGTATATGGAACTGAGATGTCCTGTAGCACATCTTTGAGCTCAAGTTAAGATATAGGACAGTGATCATTAATATGCAACCAAGACGTGGCTTTAATCACCTAATAACAATCTGCTGGGCGGCATTGTGCAGGAGGGTCATTGGCTGGATTCAAGAAACTAGAACATCAATCATGTATGTACGCCAATCATTCATCACAATCCTTGTCAAGCTTGTCAATGTCAAGGTCATACAATCTTAACCTTGAGCATTATCTGGGTTAAGAACCACTATATTACTGTGTGTAAGTTTAAGTCAGTTCTGACTAATACTGGAGGAGGAATATTATTCTCGTGAACAGAACAGATGGATGGCAGAGAGCTTCCCATGGACTAAGCTCACCGGGCCTTCTGATGGACGAGCTTAAAATTATTCTCAAAATTATTTAACAGAATATCATCTTCTGTCAAAATAGCATCTTTTCTAAAGTTGTTTTAGAAGCATACAAGAATCACCAGCAAAATATTTTAATCCTCTATTTGCTTTCTATTTGGTTACGAACTGACATGGCCAAGGTCACTATCCCTCAAAACCCTGCAGGCACCATGTTATTGTTATGAAATAATTTGTCATCCCTTTGTTTGCCTTGTGATGCTTCCCCAGTGATGCAATTTCATCAGTGACCTTGAGAAGCGACCAAGACACCGGTTCAGAGCAAGAAAAGGCTGACAGCGGTGAAAACTAGCTGTTCTGCTGGTTGTCGGATATATCTACATGTGAATTCAAACCCACCTAAAACTTTATTAAAGTGATTTTATAAATATGGACAGTTGAATGATATAGGTTTACTGTATGTGGATACAAGATTAGATATCATTTAATAAAATAAAAAATAATATATAAATACAACCAGCTCCTTCACTCAGCATTTAAACCTTCTTTAGATAGCAAAACTTAAAAGTTCATTTATAACTGCCAACATCTTAACAACTTAACATGGGATGGTACACAACAATGTTTATGAAGTACAGCTTGGGCAGCCAGAGCTCATGCTCTAGCTGTAACATGGACTGATTAACGTTGTCCATAAGTCCATTTCATGAAAGTCATTCCATTCAATGCCTCTTTCTTTCTTAATTAAGATGAATATTTGCACGTTACAAACTCTTTATAGCATTTGCAGAAGTTGTGTTTGTGTGCTTGAGTGTTACCTGACAGATAATCACAGAGTGGCTGCACAAAAGAGGAGTACTCACCAGATCAACTTCTTTTTTCAGGTCCTCCGTATCCTTGGATTTTTGACCCTTCTTGGTTGTTTTGTCGTCATTTTCTGAGGTGTTCGCCAGTTTGTAGTCATCATTCATTCGCTGGAATGAACAAAGTGGGACAAAATGAAGTTCTAAATAACATTCAAAACATGTGAGAAGATTTCCCTGAAGCGTCTTCTTCTATTTATTCAGAAAGCTGCAGAAAACCACCTTAATTAATTATTATTTGTAATTATTGGTAATAATTAATAGATAATATATTGTTGATTGGCATGCTGTTAGTCATTAGAACAGTGAATTCAAATTCGTATACATAATTTTAAAATAAGGTTTCAGATAGTTTTTAAAGCTGGAAGGTTTTGACATAAGAATGTGATATTAAGGTCCAATGAAAATATAAAAGCTTAACTGAAAACTCATAACCAAAAACTGAAATGAATTTAAAGCTAAAAAAAAATGTAAAAAAATTTTTTTAAATTAAATTAAAGAGACCAGACTTAGTCCAAATGAAGTCTAAACTCCAGGTTAAAACATGTGACAACACTTACTTTCGATCCCATGGTCGCAGTGCAGTCTCTATCCTTCAGTCTGCCCAGAGCAGAGACTATTGGTTACTCATTTTAGCCTACCTTTATACCTGGATAGGAGGAGCTTAGGGGAATGGTGGTTAGAGGACAAGGGATGAGCACAGTTGGGGAGGTCAGTGGTATAGGGAGGCAAGCTTCCATGATCTAAATGAACTCCTCCCACACCTGAGTTTTTGGTTCAGCCACTATCACTCATGCTTGTCAAGTACTAGGTAGGTCTTCCGCTTGATGGCTTTGTTCACCTCTAGTATCCACTATTTTGTCTGAGGGATCCCACCACTGCAGTCTCAGGAAGAGAGGTGCAAAATATAGACCATTAAGACTCAGTAGCCCTCCTTCTCTCTCAGAATGCATCCTCACTATACATTTCAGCACATCAAGCCTGAATGTTGTTTGATTTTCACTTCATGAGTAGAGTGGATAGGCTCCATCCCCACTCTGAAAGTGGATGGATGGAGGGATTGAAGGATGGATGGTCTTATCAAATCTCATCTAGTAATAAAATGCATGATCTGACTAGAGACATTTCAAATTTCTGTATTCTTGTACAAATCCACAATACAAAAAGACTTGCTGGTTCAGCCAGAATTTCATCACAGATCGATGGTGCAACCAAAGGAAAGTTGTAACCCTGATGACCCTTATGAAACCAACCCGTGATCTTCCTGCTTAGGAAGAAATGACTGTCCTTGATAGCTGGCTGGGACACTATGAGTTGTTGGATATGTTTGTTGTAAATTCATGACTGTATGCAATCACTGGATTTTGCAAGATGAGGAAGGAAATAGTAAAACGGAGGGGGGGGGGTGAAACATGAAAAATCTCCAGTAGTATTATTAAAGAAGTGTATAAAGGCCAGTGAAAGGGTTGTTATTAACTCACTGGACCTAGATGACAGACTATTTGACTGTATAAAAATGCATACATAACTGCAGCATTAATTCCTTTCTCTTGTGATTCTGGAAATTTCTTAAAAATTAACACATCTGTCTGTGGAAGATGTTACAGAGATTAGAAACCTTGCTGAGATCATAGACGCTGACCACATTCCAGCAACAATTCAACAGCATATTTAAAAACAAAAAAAACAAAAAAATCACACATGGAAGATCAGTATGGAAGATAGTCCAAACCCATGGCTGGGTTGGCCAAGTAGTGCTGGTCACAAGCCTGGATACATGGGGAGGTTTCCATCAGCAAGGGCATCTAATTGCCAAATCAGACATATGGATCATCATGAGATGATCAGAATGAGACCTCCGTTCAAAATTGGTCTGGTCTGGATTAACAACGACTACCTATAGTTTTGTTGACCAGAAGGTGGAAATTGTTTGGCTGTAGACAGAGGAGGAGGAGGTAAAGGGAAAGGTGTGTTGGGAGGCAGAGAAGGAAGTGAGAGTAGGTACTTTAAATGGAGGGATGACTGGTGGATGACTGGTAAAGAGAAAGCTGGCTGATATGGAGAAAATGAAGGTAGTTTTAATGTCCGTGTAAGAAACTAGTTGGAAGGGACGCAAGGCCAGAAGGCATTAGATTCAAACTGCTTTGCGATCGTGTAGATTGGAAGAGAAATAGAGTAGGGGTTATCATGAAGGAAGATTATGTAAACAGTGTTGTGCTGAATGTTGTCCCACAGGTTAAATGAATTTAGTAGACTTCTGGATGAATTGGCAGAGATTGGTGATTGGAGCAGACTTCAGTGGATATGTAGGTAAATGGAACAGGGGTGATGAGGAGGTGATGGGTGGGTATGACGTAAAGGAGAGAAATGCAAAAAGGGAAATGGGAAAAGAATGAAATGGAATTTCAAGAAGACTAACATAGGGTGAAGGTAAGAGTGGAGGAAGGTCCGCACTGGTGGCCTAAATGTTATGCAGAAGATGCAACCTGGTATACAGAATATTTTAAGGTGATGAAGAAAGCTGAAGGAGCTTTTTAACCTCACATGATCTCAGCCAGAGCGACGGGCTTCAGGTACTCCTTGTTCCCAAAAACTGCTTCCTCTGTGGAAGCTGTGTTAGTGCAGCGGTCCCCAACCTTTTTTGCACCACGGACCGGTTTATGTCTGACAGTATTTTCACAGACCGGGGTTTAAGGTGTCGCAGATAATATAACAAATGAAACCAGTACCTGTACCAAAAAAAGTTAGATTTATTCAAAACACATGGGAAAAGACACAGGGAAACAGAGTAAATGATAAAGAAAATAATAACAATAAAAACTGATAAAAAAATTTTTAAAAAAACCCTGAAAACCATAAATTTCACCCCCGAGCCTCAACTCTCGCGGCCCGTTACCAAATGACTCACAGACCAGTACCGGTCCATGGCCCAGGGGTTGGGGACTGTTGTGTTAGTGGGATCCAGGAGATCCCGAAAGCATCCCTTCCCCAACTTCAAAGCCAAACATAATTCTTATTCTTTGGTGTCATCAAACTCCTCCCTTCATCTATTTCAGCCACCTGTCTTGAAAAGGCAATTTCTTATCAAATTTTCTGAAACAAAACTAAATATCAGTTAGCGCATGTGTTCTTGTGAATCAAATGTATTATACAAGTATTTCTGAGCCACAGTGTCATCAAAGATCTATGGTGCAACCATACTTGTGACCCTGATGTCCCCTATGTAATCAGCACGTGATCTTCCTAATCAGGAAGGAAGGTTTGTCCTTGACAGCTGGCTCACTGGGCAGCTGGAAATAGTTGGATATGTCACAAAGCCATGACTATATGTAATCACTGGATTATGCAATGTGAGGTTGGAAAGAGAGAGCCAAGCAGAGGAAACATGGAGAAAATCAATTACAGAATACAGACACCTGTTTACAAGAAGAATATTAGGTATTAGTGAGGTTTTAGCAAGTGCTTAATCTATGATTTCTATATTATTACTCCCTAGTATGTCATTTATAAATATAGGTATTTTTCTCCATCTGTTATTGATAGGTCTATCTAGCACAAACCCCTCACTGGAACAATCAGAGACAATTCTTCTACAATTGCAAAAAGCATTGGACACCAGGCAGAACTCTTTGTGTGATCTCGTGCACAAGGGAGAGAACTGTGAAGAGCGCTGCTCCTGACGCTCGAACCCCAGTCACTCTCAGTTAGTTCCCCCGTAGCATTGCTCTTTATTGAGGTTACATAATTATGCATATTTTCATTAACATATGATGTCTTACATAGGCGTACATGTGAACATAGAGTACTGTCTGTGTGTATGTGTAGG